CAAAAGTTAAGATGAGGAGGGAGGGGGGAAAACAGCGCCAGGGCCCAGGTAAAATGTCGCTGTTCGTTCAGTAAGAATTAGATGGCACCAGTGGTGGGTTGGCTCCCGGTTCAGTCCGGTTCTTGCGAACCGGTAGTAAAAGTGGCAGGAGGCTCCGTCCACTCACACCCGGATGTCATAATGGACGATTTTTCTGCACATGTGCAGAAGCGTACAAGCGCGCACGAGCAAAGCAAGCGCTCCCATTGCAAACCGGTAGTAAAGGTAAGCAGAACCACCCCTGGATGGCACGCAAGAAGGGTGGTCCTCGGACTTACGACCACAAATTGAGACCCAGAATTTCCGTGGCTAAGGAAGGCCTGAGTTTATGAACATTTTTGTGATAGTTGTTGGGTGAATTGTTAAATGAATTGAATGGTCACTAAGTGAATCTGGCTTCCCCCGCTGCTTTGAAGCCAGCTGGGGAGGCTAACAATGATGGTCACGTGACCCCGGGATGCTGCAACTGTCATAAGTACGTGGCGGTTGCTAAGCACCCAAACTTTGATTGTGTGATCGCAGAGCTGCTGCGACGGTTGCTCAGTGTCCCTTGTGGCAGGGCTGCTGTTAACTTCCAACGGTCGCTAAACGAACCGTTGGGTGGTCTCGTGTCAGCAGCATTTCAATGCCGGCAGTCCTCGACTTACAACCGTTCGTTTAGTGACCGTTCGAAACGACAAAGCAATGGAAAACAAGAGACTCGGCGCCGTTACGTCACACTTACGACTGTTGTAGCATCTCTCCACAATCAAAATTCGGACACTCGACAACTGCCTCATCTTTATAACGGTTGCAGCGTCCCAGGGTTGTGTGTGTGTGTGTGTGTGTGTGTGTGTGTGAGACGTGATCCCCTTTTTCTGATAGTCAACGTCGAGAGGGAAGCCGGATTCACTTAACAACCGTGTTACTAACTTAACCATTGCAGGGATTCGCTGAGCAGGTGTGGCGAGGAAGGACTTCCCAGTGAGGCGAAATTCACTTTAACAGCTGTCTCGCTTAATAACAGAAATGTTGGGCTCCACTGTGGTTGTAAGTCGAGGACCACTTGTATAGCTCTGGTTCACATCCCTTTAACTCTCTGCCGTGCTCTAAAACGTCCCTGTAAAGTAGGCCACTTTTACTGTTTCCTTACACCCTGTTGGACTGATGGTGCGAGAGAGATCAGACTCAGCGCTTGCAAAAAGTTTCTCGGTGAAGCCAAGCTCCCAACCAGGATTTCCTGATTCACAAGTTTCCTTCCCAACCTGCAATGCCACCGTCTCTGCTGATGCCTGGAAACCACCACTTTTGCTGAGTGGACAAGTCTTGGGTTTTAATCTTCACGCAATGTGGCAGCAGCAGCTTAATCCGTGGTGTCATGAAATAAAATAATAATTAAAGCGGTTGCAAAAGGAAGGAAAGGCGAAACTGAAGCAGGCCAACTTCATCCTTGGTTTTTCTCCACTCCACTCGGAGATTCCCCTTCTCCGCCTGCTTGGCTGGTGTTGCATAAATCAATGAGATTTGCACCTGAAAGGCCGTCCTTGTGGTTGGATGGGATCCCTGAGGGCTCTCGGGTCCTTCCAGGACTCTGCACGGCAGGTGAGGAAAAAGGACTGAAATCCTTAAAAGGCACCTGCTGTCGCTGGGAGAGCGAAACGGAGTGACACCATGAAAAGGCTATTTTCATTTTATTATTAAAAGACACTCTATTGCAAATGTTTTTGTTTTTAATAATAAGGCTTCTCTGTTGCAAAAAGAGCTGGAAAGTCAAATCCCATAGAGCAACGCTGGCTGGGGAATTCTGGGAGTTGAAATTCGCACATCGTAAAGTGGCCAAAAGTTGAGAAACGGTGCTGTAGGATGGTTCTATAGGAGTTTACAGAGATGTAAAGGAATTTAAACTTCCACTACGGAGTGGAAGGAGACGCGGTGGCTCAGTGGCTAAGATGCTGAGCTTTGTCGATCGAAAGGTTGGCAGTCCAGCAGTTTGAATCCCTAATGCCGCGTAACGGGGTGAGCTCCCGTGACTTGTCCCAGCTTCTGCCAACCTAGCAGTTCGAAAGCACGTAAAAAAATGCAAGTAGAAAAATAGGGACCACCTTTGGTGGGAAGGGAACAGCGTTCCGTGCGCCTTTGGCGTTGAGTCATGCCGGCCACATGACCACGGAGACGTCTTCGGACAGCACTGGCTCTTCGGCTTTGAAACGGAGATGAGCACCGCCCCCTTGAGTCGGGAACGACTAGCACATATGTGCGAGGGGAACCTTTACCTTTACCTTACGGAGTGGAATGTGTAATTTTGGAGGGAACTTTACACAAATTATTCATGCAAGAAATCCTCCAAAATACCGTAATCTGAATGTTTTCTACTAAAAAATTATAAATGTAAAGTATATAAATTATAAATGTACATAAAGTACATAAATTATAAAGTACATAAATTATAAATGTAAATTTAATTTAAAAAATTAAAAATGTAAATTATAAATGTAAAGAATCCTATTTTTTCTATGCTGGTTTATTCTTTTAAAAGGGCGAAACATTACCACTGAAAACATGTAAAAGCCTTGTCAAATTTGTGATCTTGCTAATTTACAGAATACAGACCAGAATACAGAATAAAAAAGAGTTGGAAGGGACCTTGGAGGTCTTCTAGTCCAACCCCCTGCTCAAATTGGAGACACCTACTACACCATTTCAGACAAATGGTGTCCAATTTCTTCGTGAAAACCCTCCAGTGACGGAGGGCCCATAACGTCTGAAGTCCTTCCACTGGTTAATTGTTCTCACTGTCTCCTAAATCTCAGGTTGCTTCTCTCCTTGGTTAGTTTCCATCCGTTGCTCCTTGTCTTTGGAAAATAGAAAAATTCCCTGCCCTAGGAAAGACATCCTTGTCTTCAGCTGCATTTGGAAACCATCTCCATCAAGCAGATCAGCTTAGATGGAGACTAATAATGCCACCTTAATACATTTCAAAGCTAATTGATTTATGGTGGCATCAACCTGGTACAAGAACATCTTTCGTAGCATCTCCTACGCTAATGTGCTGATTTCAAAATATGGTGCCATGGCTCAGTTGGGCAATGTTTAAATTCCGTCTGTAATTTTGAAGTACAGTAAAAGGGCACACACAGAGAGACACGCTCCTATATATGTATATATATATATGTTAAGATGCCTAAAAGCTTATCTGATATAATTAAAGTTTACGTGAATAAATTGAAGCTGAGATGTTACCACACCGCCGATTTTGCCTACAGGACAAAATGAACGCCAACATTTAAACTCTTCCGATGCAAATTCAGTGTACCCGAAAAGAAACTGGAACTCGACCTATATGACCTTGTCCAACCATCAGTACTAATATACACAGATATATTAGTGGTGGGTTGCCCCTGGTTCGCACCGGTTCTACAGAACTGGTAGTAAAACCAGCGGGAGGCTCCGCCCACCGACCCCGACGTCATCCGAACACTTCTGCGCATGTGCAGAAGAGCGCTTGCGTGCTCCCTTCTCTCGAGCGCGCACGGCCCCATTGCAAACCGGTAGTAAAGTGTTTAAAAAAACCCTTTAAAGTAAAGGGTTTTTTTGCTAGCTTGAAAACTGTTTTGTTTATTGTTTAATAGGTTGTTACTATATATATATATATATTTTCCTACTTTGGTAATAAGTTGCATTGTTTCATAAACATGCTTTGTTTTGCGACAAATAAACAAGAATATTATTCAGGTTTGCTAGAAGGGTTAACTGTCCTCGTGCTTTGAATATATCCATTTTCATCTTTTGATATTCGGCTGCTTTATTTCATAAACTTAAGTTTATTTTGTGACAAGCAAGCGAGAATATGTGTTAGAAGAGTTAAGAGGGCTTGTCCTTTAAGTAAATTCATTTTCATCATTTGATATTAAGCTGCTTTATTTCGTTACCATTTTTTAAAAAAATTTTTTGGCAAACCAAGAATATTATTCAATTCAGCTAGAAGGGTTAAAAGCTCCTGTCCTTTTGAAGGAAGTCCATTTTCACCACTTCATGTCAAGTTGTTTTGTTTCATAAACTTGCTTTATTTTGTCACAAACCAGCAAGGATAGGATTCCTCTATCCCAGAAGGGTTAACCTGTCCTTTGAAGATGTCCATTTTCATTCTTCGATACCGAACTTTCTTTATTTCAGAAACCTAAGTTTATTCTAGGGCCGTGATGGCGAACCTACGGCACGCGTGCCCCACGTGGCACACGGAGCCATATTGGTGGGCACGCAGGCGTTGCCCTAGCTCAGCTCCGGCATGCATGCATGCACTGGCCGGTTGATTTTTGGGCCTTCTAGGCCCACCGGAAGTCAGCAAATGGGCTCTTTCCGGCCTCCAAGGGGTGGGGAAGGCTGTTTTCGCCCTCCCCAGGCTCCTAGAAAGCATCTGGAGCCTGGGGAGGGTGAAAAAACGGGCCTATTGGGCCCACCGTGCCATCACTTGCCAAAAGTGAGGGGAGCATGGGGGCTCGCGTGTGCATGGGGGGGGCAGGGGCACATAGAATTTTGGGTGTGGGCACATGCGTGCGCGACCACCCCGCACTCCCTCAGCTTTTGGCACGTGATGGCAAAAAGGTTAGCCATCACTGTTCTAGGGGCAAGCGAGCCAGGATAGGGCTGGAAGGGTTAACTCCAAGTCCATTTTCATCATTCTCGTTTCACCGTGGCTCAATCAGCTTTAAGGCCGTAATCAGATGCTGCGATTAAATTAATGTCCCTTTCCCCCTCCTGACTTCATCACGGGAGGTATTCCTCCCCGAGACCTGGTTTTGGTCAAGAGGACCTCTCCGCCAGTCCAATCGCAAAAGGTTGCTGGAAGCTTAAAGGATTAGGTTGGGCATTACGCGCAGGGGAAGGTCATGTGAATATATCAAATTTGGTGCCAGGAAGAGCTGCGAGGTGGCGGAGTCAGCACCCGTCCCTTAAGCTCTGTTGTTGTTGTTTATTTTCCACAGCTCTGCGACATCACAACTAAACTTCACAGAGTTGCAACCGGAGAAGCAAAAATGTTCCCACCTGAGGCCGAGCAGCCGCTGGATCCCATCGCTTTGAAGCATGGCCATGCTCGCCAGGTGAGTGTCCGGTGGATTCGTTTTTGCAAACTTTTCCGTTAACAAAAAACAAACCCCCACCCCACGGACCCTAATTATTAGTTAAACATGCACACACAAAACGGTGGAAAGGAGAACCGTTATGCGATTCGTAATTCAAAAGAAGGCCATTGCATGGGTGAGCTTTTCCAAAATGGGGAATATAATGATCCGCGCACCGAGTAAATCCTTAGTAATCTTAAATCAGCTTCCTTAATAGCATTTTTTTCTTCCCAGGCAAAACTCGCGCTGCAAATCCAATGCTATCGCTGCGCTTAATGTAATTATTTTTCCTTTGTGGCTCATGTGACCCACCGGAACACGGAGCCCAGGAAAATGGGACCAGGGAATTATTATTATTATTTTTTTAATCTGAAAGTTCATTTTTATGAAGTGCTTCTAAGCTGCCTTGCAAATGCCGGAAAGACAGGGCGGCATCCTAATTCAAACACTGCTTCCTTCAGCAGCCAGAGGACATATGAAGCCACTTTGGATCTGGAAGTCCCACAAAAACCTCTTGGCTTCTCACCACTCCAAAGAAAATGGAATATAAACCCCCCCAGATTATGACCAGCCTATTAAGTCACAGAGGTAGAGAGAAAAAATTAGATCCGCTTGCCTGTAGATTGGTCGTTTTTATTCTCTTAAAGATACAGTTTCATGACAGAATAATGGAACAACAAGAGCTGGAAGGGAGCCTTGAGGTCTTCTAGTCCAACCCTCTGCTCAGGCAGGAAACCTTATACCCGTGATGGCGAACCTATGGCACAGGTGGCACACGGAGCCATATCTGTGGGCACGTGAGTGTTGCCGTAGCTCATTTCCAGCGCAAATGTGTGCGCCGGCCAGCTGATTTTTGGGCCTTCTGGTCCCACCGGAAGTTGGGAAATGGGTTGTTTCCGGCCTCCAGAGGGCCTCCAGGGGGTGGGGAAGGCCGTTTTTGCCCTCCCCAGGCTCCTAGAAAGCATCTGGAGCCTGGGGAGGGTGAAAAAACAGGCCTACCGGGCCCATCGTGCCATCGCGTGCTAAAAACGGGGAGACTTGGGGGGGTCACACGGGCATGCGCGGGGTGCATTGAATTATGGGTGTGGGCACGTACATGGGCGACCTCCCCGCGGTCCTCCCGCTTTTGGCACGCGACGGCAAAAAGGTTAGCCATCACTGCCCTATACCATTTCAGACAAATGGTTATCCAGTCTCTTCTTAAAAACCTCCAGTGATGGAGAAGGAAGGAAGGAAGGAAGGAAGGAAGGAAGGAAGGAAGGAAGGAAGGAAGGAAGGAAGGAAGGGCAGAATAAGAGAATAACAGAGTTGCAAGGGACCTCAGAGGTCTTCTAATCCAACCCCCTGCTCAGGCAGGAGACCCTAGACCATTTCAGACCAATGGTTATCCAGTCTCTTCTTGAAAACTCCCAGTGTTGGAAGCAAACCTCCGGAGGCAATGGTTGGAATGAGGAATGGTTGCTTTCAAAAGTTACCTGGATTAACTATTGTTTTTTCCCCATGAGGTTTCTGTTCTGCTTCTCTCACGTTAGGGGTGCAGTGGCTGAAATAAATAGGCGAGCAGCAAAAATCCATGAAATTATCCAAGCCAGTTCCCAACAAATAAAGATCCTGAATTGAGTAGAAGGAAGGCTTGGACAAATTCCACCCGGCAGTTAAGTAGAGGTGTTTCTTGACTTACAACCATTCGCTTAGTGACTGTTCAAAGTTACAACGGCATGGGGGAAAAAAGTGACTTACGACCGTTTTTGACACTTATGACCGCTGCAGAATATCCCCGTGGTTACGTGATTAAAAACTTGGACATTCGGCAACTGGCATGTACTTATGACGGTTGCAGTGTCATAAGTGGGATTGCCTTTTGCGACCTTCTGACAAGCCAAGTCAAGATTCACTTAACAACTGTCTGACTCCCTTAACAACTGTGGCAAGAAAAGCTGTAGAACGAGGCAAAGATCCCTTAACAACCACTTCACTTAGCAACAGAGAATTTGGGCTCAATTCTGGTCTTTTAAGCATCTTCAAGGACTTTCCTTCAAGGTTCCTACTGCATCCTTCCCTCTTTTCCCTCTTGGAAAACCTCCAAAGGCAGAAGATCCTTAATGCAGATTTATTCAGTATTGATACCAGACAGTTTTTTTTACTCAACACCCTAAAGCAATTATCTGCATGTTGTAGGCTCCTGCGAGCCTTTAAAAGCATTCCCGTTGCATAACCGTGGAAAACTCCGCTCTCCAAATTTCCCAACTGAGAAAGGAGATCAAAAAGCACCCTTGGCATTTATCTTCCACTCCTTTAGAGGCGCATGAGGCGGCTCCCGCTGAACATGATGTACTAACACAGGCAGACAGACAGCACATGCTGAAATGTAATGACATTAGGCTCCGGCTCCATTAACCATTAAGGACGGGATGGAATCGGTCCTCCCCGCCGTAGCAAATTGTCAAGGCAGACGATCCATCTTCGTAGAGACTGAGAGGCTGCTCTTGAAGATGCTACCTAAAGGCCATATATGGAAATAATAAACCCAAGAATACAGGACTGGCCAGGAGTCGCACGAGACAGAAAAGAGATAAAATTAACAGGGAAATCCAGACACTCGGTGCGGCCCCCAATTATTATAAGGGGGTGGTCTCTGAATCTAACTTGGCTCATGTCATGTGTCCAATAAATCATTTCTTGGCAACAATGCTAACAGAAGTTGCCTTCTTGTGCGATATTTCTTTTTTTAGACTTCAGGGTTGAGTCTATATTCCGGTTATTTCTTGGTAAGGTCCAGTGCTGAAATTCATTTTTTTTTTTACTACCGGTTTGGTGGGCTTGGCTTGGTGGGCGTGGCTTGGTGGGCGTGGCAGGGGAAGAATACTGCAAAATATCCATTCCCTCCCCACTCCTGGGGGAAGGATATTGCAAAATCCGCATTCCCACCCCACTCTGGGGCCAGCCCGAGGTGGTATTTGCCGGTTCTCTGAACTACTCAAACTTTCCGCTACCGGTTCTCCAGAACCTGTCAGAACCTGGAAAGGAAAGGAAAGGAAGGGAAAGAAAGGAAAGGAAAGGAAAGGAAAGGAAAGGAAAGGAAAGGAAAAGGAAAAGGAAAAGGAGAAGGAAAGGAAAGGAAAGGGAAGGGAAGGGAAGGGAAGGGAAAAGGAAAGGAAGGACATATGTTATCCATACTTCTAAAAACCTGGTGTTCACTTGAAGATATTGAATCGTGCCACACGAAAATCTTTCCATTCTTTGAATTGACAATCTGTAGTCAAAACGGCAAGTCCCCCGTCGGTCAAAGCAGGCCCAGGCCTCCCTGTTCAGCCCTAAATGACATGACTTGAAAAAGGCCGGGAGGTTATTCGCAGAGTACCCACACCCTTGACCAAGCTGGATTTTCTTCTAGACTAATTCCAAAAACATTTTTATCTTTGCTGGATCAAATACTTGCGGCTTACAAAGGGTGATGACTCAGGACGTGTCCAACTGAAGGGCTGGTCCCTGCCAAAGCTAAACCCTTCCTCCTTCAAGGATGGCATCAGGACGACTTTGGTGACAAGAATATAAACAAATCCTGGGGGGGAAACAATGCAAAGCCCTTTACATTTTTTCCCCCCTTTGGAATTCCAAGCCTTCTTTTGCTGCCCCAATCTGGAACCTTTTTGCTGGGTTAATATTATCCTGCTTGACTCGGGGGTGACCAACCCCAGGTGGCAGGTGCCACATTCCTACTCACGAGCCAAGCAGACTCTGGCACCAAAACTATTTTCAAGCTGAGAAGTAAACAAGGAACTTTCTTTGTAAGATTCCAGCAAGCATTGGCACGGCCTGCTTGATCCTGATCGTTTGAGCTATCAAAGATTTCAACTGGGATCTGAAACGGGAAAGGTTAGATTTTTTTTCAACATTCATTCTTGGTGTAGTAGCCCCTCATGGGAAGATCTGGGTGAGAGGAGCTAGAAATTCAGGCCGTAATCCAAATTCTGCAGGTAAATACCCGTGGAATTTATGTATTCAGAGAACTTATAGAACTCTTGCTCGCTTCATCTTTCGTTGCAAACCTTAGGAGGGATCTGATAGCACCTTTTCAGGCCAACTAATGTCGTTAAAAAGCATAAGCCTCCACAAAAAAGCTGTTGGCTTTTAATGGCATAGTTTGGCTGGCCAAGGGTCTGAGAGTTGAGGGGACCCGGGAGCTCTCTGAGCTTGGTGGTTTTCTGGCAGACGTTTCATGACCCAACTAGGGAACATCATCAGTGCAAACCCTGCTTCTTTCTAGCACTGATGATGTTCCCCAGTTGGGTCATGAAACGTCCGCCAGAAAACCACCAAGCTCAGAGAACACCAAGGACCCCACAGTTCCTCCTCCTCTCCCCTTCTCTTTCTCCTTCACTCCTCAACCCCCTCTCCCTTCTAGCACTGATGATGTTACCTAGCTGGGCAATGAAACGCCTGCAAGAAAACCACCAAGCTCAGAGAAGCACCAAGAGCCCCTCATTTCAACCCTGAGCTACAGATATTCTCCTTTTATCCCTGCTAAGGGAGTCCTCCTGCTCTGGAACCCCCACAGCCTGACTCAGCCCTGCCCTTCCAAATGCTGCCAGTAACACAATCAGAGACTCTTAAATTCAGCTCTCCAGACTGATCGATCGCGTTGTCCTCCTCTAAGGGGAAAAAAAAAAAAACAGATTGCCTGGCGTCTTCTTCTACTTCTACTTCTCCTCTTCTTCCTCTTCTTTTCCTCCTCCTCCTCTTCTTCGTTGTTTTCTTCTTCTTCTTCTTCTTCTTCTTCTTCTTCTTCTTCTTCTTCTTCTTCTTCTTCTCTTCTTCTTCTTCTTCTTCTTCTTCTTCTTCTTCTTCTTCTTCTTCCTCCTCTTCCTCCTCCTCTTCTTCTTTTCTCCTCCTCCTCTTCTTCTTCTTTTCTCCTCCTCTTCTTCTTCTTCTTCTTTTCTCCTCTTCCTCCTCCTCTTCTTTTCTCCTCCTCCTCCTCTTCTTCTTTTCTCCTCCACCTCCTCCTCCTCTTCTTCCTCTTCCTCCTCCTCTTCTTCTTTTCTCCTCCTCCTCTTCTTCTTCTTTTCTCCTCCTCCTCCTCCTCTTTTCTCCTCCTCCTCCTCCTCCTCTTCTTCTTCCTCCTCCACCTCCTCCTCCTCTTCTTCTTCCTCCTCTTCCTCCTCCTCTTCTTCTTCTTTTCTCCTCCTCCTCTTCTTCTTCTTCTTTTCTCCTCCTCCTCCTCCTCCTCCTCCTCCTCCTCCTCCTCCTCCTCCTCCTCCTCCTCTTCTTTTCTCCTCCTCCTCCTCCTTCTTCTTCCCAAAACCCAGTCGTGAAAACTGCGCCTCAGGAAGAGTTTTGCTGGTGTGTTTTTTTTTTTAAAGACTCTCCCTGGAATCTTCCGATGGCAAAGCCGGCTTTCTTGACGGGAATGCCAGAAACTAGGCTGGTGGGTTTCACCCAAAAAAAGAAAAGAAAAAAGAGAGAGAGTGGGTGGGAGGGCAGGCAGGCAGCAGCAGCAGCAGCGGCTGTAACCCAACACCCAGATGGATTATTCCAGGAATATCTGCCTTCCTACCAATCGATGGGAAGGCTGAGAAGAGAGAGCAGCCTGTGCACCACTCCCCTTCCAGATCAGAGAGTTTCCTATTTCTTGAAACTGGGATGGTAAACAGAGGTAGGGAGGAGCCACACGGCCTTGGCTGTGCCAACAGAAGCAGAAACTTTGTGAGTAATGTACTAGGAGGACAAACAAGTGCAGCTCACATGCGGGGAAAAACACCCAGCCGGAGGAAGGTCTAGGACGGCTCGTTAAAGGGCAAAGTGTGTGGGGGGGGAGAGACAAAAAACATGGGAGATCCCCCCTCGGCTGCCTCTCTCCTTCACCTGAAATGTTATTTTATCAGCCATGTTTGACTCTGCGGTACAAAGGAACATGAGAACTGGACCGAAGGTAGGAGCTGGGGAAGAGAGAGGGGAGGGGGTGGGATGGATGGATGGACGGACGGAGGGATGTTTGTGGAGGGGGAGCAGAGCAAACAGCCTTGGCCAAACATTGTCAAAGCAAACAGGAGGAGGAGAGCTTGCACCCAAGCAGGAGGGATGGGATGTGGGGTAGAAAGGCAGGACTTGGGTTTCAATGCCCGGATGATTGTTTTGGGTGGGAAGAGGATTCCCAGTAGAGTCCTGGGCATCAAAGTGTGGGTTTACATCTTGTAGGATGGCTTGCTTTTAAGTCAGGGGTGTCCAACCTGTGGACTTCAACTCCCAGAACTCCCCAGCCAGCCTCCTAGTCCAACCCCCTGCTCAAGCAGGAGACCCAGAGATGCCATGCCAGGCATCTCTCCTTAAAAGCACCCACAATTTCTAAAGGCAAGCCCTTCCGCTGATTAGCTGCTCTAAACGTCGGGACATTTCTCCTTAAAAGTGAGCAACGCAGTACAATGAGAATCCAAAATGTAGTGACCCCAACGGTTATTACTCTCCTGTTTTCTTCAACCGTAATATCCCCCCCCTCTGAAAAATGCTTTCGTTAAACCAGCATCTCCAAGTAGAGAATCATAGGAATGGTAGGGGACCTTGGAGATCTTCTAGTCCAACCCCGCTGTCCGTGGCAGGAGACCTTATATATCGTCCTGGACAAAACGGTTGTCCAATCCTTTCTTGAAAACGTCCAGCGATGGTGCGGCTTGACTGCAACTCCCAGCATTCCCAGCCAGTGGGCCACCGGTCAGGTTGACTGAGAATTCATGGAGCTGCGGATCAAAACGTTTGAAGGACGTCCTGTTGGAGAAGGTCTAGGGCCGTGATGGCGAAGCTATGGCACGCGTGCCCAAAGTGGCACGCCAGCCGTCGCCCCAGCCCAGCTCCACCGTGCATGTATGTGCCTCCCGCCAGCCAGCTGGACTTCGGGTCTCTGCTGCTCATGCATGGGGGGTGGGGCGCATGCACGGGGGATGCTCGCGTTGCATTTTGGGGGTTCACACGTGCATGCCCCTGCACCCTATTTTGGGCCTGGAAGGCATCCTGCACCAACCTGGAAACCAAAACGGGGCTCAGAGAGCCCTGGGTGCATGCATGGAGGGGGCCAGGCCGTGTGCGTGGGGGACGCATGCATGGGGGCGGGGCACATGCATGGGGGCACTTGCATTGTGTTTTGGGGGTCTGGGCACAAGTGCGTGCAAGCGGGTTTTGGGCACTTGGCACCAAAAATGTTAACCATCCCTGATCTAAGGGGGTTAGGAGGGTCCCAGATTTACAAATGAGCTATCTCCAGTTGGTTAAAAGGAAGGTCGAATCAAACGGAAAGATCTGGTTTAACCATCACTTTATTTTGGAAAAAAGTCTCTTTGAAACATTACGTTTTATTTTAATGGAGGGTTTTGTTTTGTTTTTTAAAGGAAGTGCATTTGCATCTGCGGCTCTAGATTTGGGAGAGATGTTATCTCAAAGTCATAACCTTAATCCTTCAGTTTAATAAAAAGAAATTACGCGAAGCGTGCCTCCACAATACGTTGGGAGGAAAGCAATTACAAAAACATTAATTTTGGCACTCTTTGGGGGAAAAAAACGTCTTATAGGAGGAAGGCCAACTCTTAGAAATTACTCGGCGTGTTTATTTCAGATAAAACCGCTGAGGTTCTCCTTCTCGGCATGTCGGAGAAGGGGCTAAATGGACGACAAAACAAGGAGCTTTAAACTGCAGAGACAGCGCAGTGTTGAGCCTAGGCCAGGTTTCGCAGCTCGGGCACCAGCGCAACTCTTGACACCTCAGCTGAACTATTCTCGAGTTGCAGCCGAGAGATCTCCCAGCTTGTCTGAATGTCCAACCCTTGAATCAGTTTAGATCTATCAGGGTCGGCAAGAGGAACATTTCTACAGGGTGGAAGGGAACAAGAGAAGGTGGGCTCCACCCATTATCCAAAGCACCTGAGGGCAGGACAAGAAGCAACTGGATGGGAACTCAGCAAGGAGAGAAGCAACTTGGAACTCAGGGGAAATTTCCTGACAGTGAGAACAATTAATCGGTGGGACAACTTGCCTCCAGAAGTCGTGAATGCTCCAACACTGGAAGATTTTAAGAAGAGGTTGGATAACCATTTGTCTGAAGTGGTGTAGGGTTTCCTGCCTGAGCAGGGGGTTGGACTAGAAGACCTCTCTGGTCCCTTCTGGTATTCGGTACTTTAACCTGCTCCTTAATCATATTTTTCATTTCTCCTTAGGTTGCCCTATTATTATGATGACTGTATTTTCTCATGGGGTCCCCCCGTAAATTAAGGGGGGCATTTCTAAATCACGCCTATACGGAAGCCTCCTTGAATCACGCATGGAAGCGCTCAAAAATTTGGAAGGGAGGGAGGGAGGGAGAGAAGGAAGGAAGGAAGGAAGGAAGGAAGGAAGGAAGGAAGGAAGGAAGATCTTCTTTTTAGGTGTCTTCCCAAGCGAGCCAAGGTCTTGCCTGCCACATGAAAATGGCCAGACATAAGGAGATTGACTCATGTGGCGAAGCCAAAACCTTTCCCCATACAGGGATGAATTTTAGGAAGGATTTGTAAACATGTGAAATAATGTGGATGTTCTGGCAGATAAAATGCCTCTAAAAATAGAAAAACCGAAGGTCATCCTCTTCAAAATACTGGAAGGCAATTAAGAGCACGGTACTTCTTGATTCAACCGGACACTATTAATAACCGGAAGACAGAAATGTTTTACGTGCGCATATAAAAAGCTGCCTTCAAGGCTATACGTACTATATTACTGGGGGGAAAACAAATGTCTTGGGAGGAATGTTGCCTCGATTAGCAACACAAAATAATGCTTTAGTTAAGTTTTTACAGGGAGTTTTCAGAAAGGAACACAATCTACTTTTCATTTTACTTTGCAAAAAATGGATTAGAATAATACGGCCTTTGTAAGGGTTAGAAACAGAGAGAGAGAGAGAACTGCCTTAAACCAAAGTAAGACAAGGTACCTAATAATTAAGCTGTATTAATAACTAACCCGTTAGGATCACAGGGTCTCTGCTTTTTTTTTTTTTTTAAGGACATAGACGTTGAATGTGGATCTATGAAATCCATGGTCTTGAGCAGGGGGTCTCCTAACTTGGCAACTTTGTGGACTTCAACTCCCAGAATTCCCCAGCCAGCAGCTCTAGGAGTTAAATATCTATGGAGATCCTCAGTCATCCAGGTCACGATTGTCCCAAAGGGGCTTTTTCAAGGGGCAGACGGGACTTCCTTGGTTTTTCCTTCAAGACGTTTCACTTCTGGTCCAAGAAGCTTCTTCAGTTTTGAGAGTTGAAGTCCACAAGTCTTAAAGTTGCCAAGTTTGGAGACCCCCCCTCCTTCCGGTCTTGAGGAACCCCCAACTAAATAATTCGACACCTGGTCTTTCTGTTACCCCATAATACAACTCAGAGCTGGTCCGATTCGGCACGGTGCAGATGCTGGAAGACGTTTTGATTTGGTCTCCTCAAAAGAAGGGTATTGATGTTCTTTGTTGTCTCTTCTCCCGTAGAAAAGCTGGTAACCAGCAGAAAAGACCCCTGGTCTCGGGAACGTCATTATGTGGAGCTGTGAAGCCCTCAATGGTTCCAAAAACACCGAGGACCAGAATCTGTGCCACGATTTTCATCTGGTCATTTCCATTTTCTCTTTGCTCTACCTCATCATCTGTTTCCCCGTCGGCCTTTGTTATAATGGGCTCTTGGTTGTGGTCAACCTGTGTAACAAAGCTACGATGACCATGCCGGACGTCTACTTTGTCAACATGGCCATCGCTGGCCTCATCATCAACGCCATCGCCCCCATGTACCTGCTGGGACCTACCAGCACCAAGTGGGCCATCTGGAATTTCAACAACGAAGTCTACATCACCTTGCTGATTCTATTCAACGTCTCCTCCTTGGTGATCATGTACTCCATCGCCTTGCTCAGCCTGGACTACTACATCGAGCGGGCTCTGCCGAGGACTTACATGTCCAGCGTGTACAACACAAAGCACGTCTGCGGGTTCATCTGGGGAGGGGCCATGCTGACCAGCTTCTCCTCTCTCCTCTTCTACATCTGCAACCACGTCTCCACCAAAATTATTGAGTGCTCCAAGATGCAGAACAAAGAAGCCGCGGACGCCATCATGGTGTTCATCGGTTACGTTGTGCCGGCCGTCGCCGTGCTCTACGCACTCGTGCTGATCTTGCGGATACGCAAGGAGGCCACGCCCCTGGACCAAGACACTGGAAGACTGGACCCCTCTGTGCAGAGGCTTCTGATCGCCACCGTTTGCACCCAGTTCACCCTGTGGACACCTTACTACGGGACCCTGATGGTCAGCACGCTGGCCACCATGCAAGGCAAAGCAGTGGAGGAGAGCTATGGCCGGGCCTTGCATTTCACGAAGGGGCTCTCCAAATTCCTGGCTTTTTCCAGCAGCGTTGTCCTGCCTTTGCTCTATCGGTATCTCAGCAAAAACTTCCCGGGGAAACTGCAAAGGCTGCTGAAAAAGCTGCACTGCGGGAATCAGCCGTGTTCGCACGAACGCACAGTGGTTCAACAAATTGTCACGTAGGTATGGAGGAACGCTGGTGGGCGCCGGGTTGCCGAGCGGAGTCTGGAGGTTGCTGCCGAGCGAGGAGGGCACGCGAATGTCAGCGCCTCGCTGTCCTAGGCCTACCCAGGTAGCGACTCTGTGGAGGAAACTGTTGGGAATCCTGTCTGTGGGTTAAAAATCGTGGCTTGGTTCCACGAATTTCAATGCACTGAGTCAGTTTTACAGGATTAAGCTTTGTTTTAGCAATCTTGTGTGAAGAAGGAAAAAACAAACAAACCCACAGTAGGATTTTTGACCGAACACCTAGCACTTTGTAATCTTGTAGAATTTAAAACGAAAAAGAGGTATTTTTATGTTTTCGTATAAAATAATATGAATTTTAAAATTTACAAAGCAGTTTTATGTCAAGGTCGGAGCAGCAACCTTTTCAGTTAGGATAATGTCCATTAATAATTGCACTGGTCAAATTGTGTAACAGCCTTAGTAGGATACTACGTTTTTTTTCCTAATCTGCGGAGTTACGATTTAAACAAAATCTTTACTTCTAACTCTGAAGGTTTGAAGGTTTCTCTTCGAACGCAGCTGTGTTTTCCTCCATTTACAAACGAACAAAAAAAAAAATGGGTTTCCCCCATTTTCTTGACTTTACACTGTAAAAGCATTTCAATCGATCGAAAGTATGTAACTTTGCAGAAACTGTAGGATGTTGCTACGTCTAGTAAAATGAAGGACAGTTTAAGATGAAGTCAAGCTTAAGGTGCCAACGAAAAACCCGGTTGCATTTAGAAGAAAAGGGCACCTACTGAATCACTCACAGATATTCCTTAGGACGTACAACTTTCTTTTCATGACTGAATTAAAAGCAAGGCTCAAAGAATGTTTGCGGGATATTGATGGACCAAAGGGATGGAAGAGATAACACAATGGTGTGAAGGTACACAGGGGACAACAAGGATTTCTTATAATTCTGGTCCTCATTTTTATGCTGCTTTAAATTCTAGTTCTCTCTCTACTCAGTAGTGCCATGTCTCTTCTGTCCCTTTAGTTGGGCCCAACAACAAGCTAGCATGAAGTAGGCTAGGCTAGGCTACTAAAAGCCATATATACCATGTCATCCTACGTGCACATAAGGACAATGTTTTGTATCTGCTCCACCCCCATTATCACCAGAAAAGCTGTCCAAGAGGCTGGGAGATCCTCCAGAGGTCACCACATCCTAGAACAAAGAGCTGGAAAAAGGGGTGAGGAACATCTCTAGATGTTCAGATGGCCTCCAACACAGGGCAACTGTTTTTCAGTTTAACTGGCTGCCTCCTAGGCATAACAGAATAAAAGAGTTGGAAGGGACCTTGGAGGTCTTCGCTCAAACAGGAGACCCTCTACCATTCCAGATAAATGGCTGTCCAATCTCTTCTTGAAAACCTCCAGAGATGAAGCATCCACAACCGCTGAAGGCAGGTCGTTCCACTGATTCATTGTCCTTGCTGTCAGGAAGTTTCTCCTTAGTTCTAGGTTGGTCCTCTCCTTGTTTAGTTTCCATCTGTTGCTTCTTGTCCTGCCTTCTGGTGCTTTGGAGAATAGGCTGACCCTCTCTTCTTTGTGGCAGCCCCTCAAATATCGGAACATACTCTCCGTGTTCCTCGGCTGAAAGAGATGATGAGAGTTGAAGTCCCAACTCCACCGGAGGTCACCAAGTAGGGGAGAAAAGACTAGATGATACGAAGCGGTTTTGCTTCTTCAGAGGTGAGGTGAAATCAGGATTTTTGGGTTTTTTGGCTGGCTGGTCTTGCTTCTACCAAGCTGCCATTCATAACAATTGTGATTTGCTCCAGCTGACATTTTGGCTGGGACACAGTGCCAGGATCCGAGAGATGTAGGCTTGTAGAACAAATAGTTGAGTCTTCTGTAAGAGGCCTTGAGGGTTGAACTGAGAGATTATCGGAGTTAAGACGCTAATTTAGCCTAGGGAGTTACCACAAAGTCTAATTTAGTGGAGGGAGTTGCCAAGGTTCTCCACAGGTAAGGAAGAAAACAATAGCCTGTATGTTTGCCGGGCTCCAAGGTGTCTTTGGCTTAGCCGAAGTCTGATTAGCCTTACCGTCTAGGTCAGGGGTCTTCAACCTTGGCCACTTTAAGCCTAGGTACAGAGGAGCTGGGGCGAGGAACAGGAGCTCACCCCGTTGCGCGTCGGGTCTCGAACGGGGCCATCGACTTTCCAGCTGACAAGCTCAGCTTCTTGAACCACTCAGCCATCATGCCTCTCTCTATAACTCTACTATACTACTATAACTCCCATAAACCCAAGAGGCGCAACCTTTTTTCGTTCACCTTGACAGTCCTTACTTCTCTCTCCCTTGAAACCTCTCTGGGCCATCCTGGTTTCTTCAGACCGAAGAAAGCTAGTTTCTCGTTTCTCTTCCAACGGACAATGTCTTTGGCTTATTTCAGGCTAGGCTAAATTATTGGGATCTTTGAGTCCCTGCAGGATTTCTTACCAGCCATCAACGCTGGATATAAATTCAGCGGTGGGACTTCCTCTTTCCCAAACTAAGCATTCCTAGGTCAAAAGACAATTCGATGCTTTGTAAAACAAAAAAACCAGGAGCCAAATGCTCATGCCTTATGTAATTCCAACTCCACGTTACTAATATCCTGTATCTGAAGCCACTTTAGTTCAAAACATTTACATATTTCTTCCCAAATCTTACTCACTGCTAATATCCTAAGAGGCGTGCCTTTTCCCATTAAAACTGAGTCAGTATTAGAGGGAAGAAAAAAAACAAAAAATTCAGTATGAACCTAGTAACCTCTAAACTGGTTTCCAGAAATGTTCCACAAAACCACTAATGTTTATTTTTAGATCTCAAATGCTATCACTTTCAAACAACTGCATTCACTTTTCGTAAACTCTGAAATCAGGAGTGTTTTCCAGACCAGAATTTTAGTGAGGTCCAAAAAGCTAACAAGTAGGTATTTTTTAATACAACCAGTAACCTAAGGCAAATGTGATGGAAGAATGGAGATAGAAAATTTGAGGGGATAAGATTTGGAAATCTGTTCTCATATGGACTTTTAGCACGCATTTCTGCTTAAGCCTCCGAAAGATTCCAGCTATTTTTGTAAATAAAAGTATATGCCATTAGTCGCTGAACACATGAAACAATCTACTGATGTAAAAAAAAAACATTTAAAAGAATTTATTAAATTATTTCCTAAGATTCAGATTTTATCACAGTTGAAGACTAAACTAGCTCAATGAAAAGTACTGTATCTGGTCATACATAACAGAAGTTCAGCACAGGAGTGCTGATATTAACAGTATTATTTCAGAATAGTATTTTTTTTTTTTTTTGAAATGATTTTATGATTTGTAGGTCTCCTTTTAACCGGGGAGGCAGTTACGCCAAATCAATAAACTGATAAATTGTTTACTTTGGAATCATCTTTGTCATTATTCCTCTCGGTTTAACCGTTTCAAGTGTTTGCTTGGTCTTCTTGGATTTAAGTCCAGGTAGTCCTCGAGTTACGACCACAACGGAGCCCAAGATTTCTGTGGCTAAGCGAGAAAGTTGTGAAGTGAGTTTTGCCCCATTTTGCGACCTGTCTTGCCACTGTCGTTAAGTGAGTCACAGAAGTTATTAAGTTGGTAACACGGCTTTCAAGTGAATCTGGCTTCCCGATTGACTTGGCTTGTCAGAAGGTCGCAAAAAGGGGATTGTGTGACACCCCCCCCCCCCGGGACACTGCGACCGTCACAAGTGTGAGTCTGTTGCCAAGCAACCAAATTTGGATCACGTGCAGAGATTGTGTGAAAAACAATCATGGTACTTTTTCCCGCACCACTGTAACTTCGAACAGTCACTAAACGAATGGCCGTGAGTCAAGGACCAGGTACACAGAAGAACAGAGAAGGAGAGTGCGACTATGGGCTGCTCTATAAGCCTAAATGCTAATATTATCTACCCTGATCAGAGGCAGAGTTTGGATCTCCTCGTGACGGCTTGGGTTGCAAGACTGACTCGGAGGTGCTTTTTCGAGCTTGGTTTTTTTCCTTGAAGAGGTTTCGCTTCTCATCCAAGAAGCTTCTTCCGTTCCGAGCTGAAGGGTGGGGAATTCAGGATTCTTCCGCTAGAACTGAAGAAGCTTCTTGGATGAGGAGCGAAACCTCTTCAAGGAAAAACTAAGAAAGTCCAGTTGCCTTTTGGGACCCACCTTTGGGACAACCCTGACCTGAATGATTGGGATTCTCCAAAGACCAGACCGAATTCTCCCCATCACGCAGGTTGAAGCACGCAGGCACCTTGCAAAGCAGGTGTCGCACAGGTGTGTTTGTGTCAGACAGCCGGGGCTCCTCCCAGGAGGTTTTGCTGCATTCCAAGGAGGGATCTTCTCTCTAGCAAAACAAAAGTCCAGGGCAGGGCAAGATCCAATGGCAGTCTGTTCCCGGCATTCGGGGGGTGGGGGGTGAGAGACGACGACAATGTACTAAACACTCAAAGGGGAGAAAAGGAATTGCAGCCAGGGAAGGTTAACCCTGATGAGCAGCATAGCCTCCGATTTGTTTCTCCATAAATCCAACCGTTGTGTTTCCAGCTGGAAGTTAGGACTCTCTGTTGCAAGGTTTCCACGTGGAATAGCATTGGGCTTCATGGAATATAAACATCCTGAGTACCAGACTAAAAAAAGAAAGATTCCCTGTTATGCATTCAATTCCTGGAAGAGCACCTGCAAAAGCGGATATCCACAAACACACACACACACCAGAGAGCGAGAGAGAGAAAGAGGCAGGGAGGGGGGGAGAGAGAGAGGAAGAGAGGAAGAGAGAGGGAGGGAGAGAGAGAGAAAGAAAAAGAGAGGGAGAGGGAGGGAGGGAGAGGGAGGGAGGGAGGAAGAGAGGGGGGAGGGAGGGAAGAAGAGGGAGGGAGAGAAAGAGAGGGAGAGCGAGGGAGAGCGAGAGAGGGAGGGAGGGAAAGAGGGAGGGAGAGAGAGAGGGATGGAGAGAGAGGGAGAGATGGAAAGAGAGGGAGAGGTAGAGAGAGAGAAAGGGGGAGAGGGAGGGAGAAAGGAATAGCATCCCATCAGAATTCAAATTCCTGGAAGCTTTCTCCTGAGTCATTTCGTATCATCAGCCAAAACATCAAGCCAAGGTTGATCTGGGTCATTTTTTAATTAAGTGGAGCATGACGAAACCACAATTCCTGATTCCACCTAGATGTGCAATGAGATAAACTGTGTTTAGCTAAAAGAATAAAAATCCTTCGCTTCTGTTTGCCCACAAAGGAGGAAAAGGAAAGAGCCAGAGGCTCATGGCAGCCTGATCACCATCATCCAAAGCAACGTTAGCTCGGGATGATGGGATCTGTCTGTCATTCAGAACTCCAGGGCGCCCTGCAGAAGATTTTGTCCTCCAGCCAGGCTCAGCTAGGAAAGCAATGGCGGGAGGATGAAGAGAACTAAGTTGCAGACCGTATTTATTATCCATTCCCAGGGGGAAAAAACTGCATTTCTCCCAAATATTGAAAATATAAAGTTTTTCAGAGTTTAGTTCGTTCTCCCAAAGCGCCCCCTTGTGGTTAATGGGAAAATGCCACGCCAGGAAGGAAGCTCCACTGCCTTTATTCTACAATTATCCCCCAAAGTTAAGTGGCATTTGCTGAGCTGGCTAGCTTAGCTCAGGATGGCTCAGACAAGCAGAAAAGCTCATTTTCCAGCAGCAACACATCGGGGAAAGACTGCTGAGCAGGACACATTTTATGGGAGAGAGCACAGAGGAGGGAAAGCGGGGCTTAAGGGAGACTTTTTACTAAAGAAAAAGGCTTAAAGGGTAAATCTGAAGAAGTTACAAGCCCTCTTAAGGTTGCACCAAGATCAGAAGTTGTGTACCACACTAATATGCAGATTTTAGCCTATTTCCCTTCCGCCAATTTCCCTCGTGTGTCCGTGCAAACTAGTTTTAGCCTCTACGCAGAAAAAAGGGGAAAGCAGAGAATTGCAAAAAGGATCCGTAAACAACCTTTTGAACCGCCTCAGGAGTCCTATAATTATAATCATAAAAGTATAAACCTAATTTGAATACTTAAATAGAGTAAGTAAAAAAGGAATATTAGGACAGGGACAGAAGGCACGCTGGTGCATTTATGCATGCCCCTTACAGACCTCTTAGGAATGGGGTGAGGTCAACAGTAGACAGTTTAAAGTTAAAGTTTTGGGGGTTTAGGGATAATCAGGCACCCAAAATATCAAGGCAGTGGGGTAGCCAGAGTTTAGTTCGTAGGCTAGGCAACTCTGATAAAACATCAAATAGTAGGGTTGGAAGAGACCATGGAGGTCTTCTCGTGCAGCGGTCACCAACTGGTGGTCCGTGGACCACTGATGCCCTAGAGAAAATTTTGGTGGTCCGCAGAAAAAATATTCACATCTTTTTTATATTGCACTAAATCAGAGGTCCTCAAACTACGGCCCCTGGGCAGGATACGTGCAATGAACGCTTGTGTTGCTGAGAGAGTCTCGTTCCAGTGGGACTGCATCATGGCCTGGAACTGGCTGACCGTCTCAGCCCACTGAGCCTCCAGGTGCTGGTACCTGGCCTTGCACTCCTGCAGGTCTTCCCTCTGCTTGGAAAGCCTATGCTCCTAGTCCTCAGTGAGGTGCTTCTGCTGAGCCTCCTTCTCGGCCAGATCCAATCTGAACTGAGCAGCGGTTTTGCCAACTCTTTCTCATGGTGGCTGCTTAGCTCCAACAACTTCTTCCTTTTGGGGCCCTAAGGAGCCTGGCTGGAGAGGTGAGGAATGGCTGGGAGCGGCGAGTAGAGGCTGGCGAGATGCCCCTCAACGTGAGTGACATCAAGTTGGTCACGCCCACCCAGTCACATGACCACCTCGCCACGCCCACCCAGCCGGTCATTAGGCAGATTGTATTAGGGGTCCGTGGGATTTAAAATTATGAATTTGGTGGTCCCTGAGATCCGAAAGGTTGGGGACCCCTCTTCTAGTCCAACTCCCAGCTCAAGCAGAAGACCTTACACCATTTCAGACAAATAGCTGCCCAGTCTCTTCTTAAAAAGTTCCCATGTTGGAGCACCCACAACTTCCGGAGGGAAGCTATTCCGCTGGTTTATTGTTCTCACTGTCAAGAAATTCCTCCTTAGTTCTAGGCTGCTTCTCTCCTTGATAATGTTCCATCCCTTACTTCTTGTCCTGCCCTCAGGTGCTTTGGAGAATATATTGTCCCCCTCTTCTCTGTGGCAGCCCCTCAAATGTTGGAAGAGTTTCATCAGAAAGTGGCAACAGAGAGACAGGACTGAGAACAGGACAGCAAACGACGTTGATATTGGAAAATTTGAAAAGAAAGGCAAATGTGATGAGGAAGGGGCCTGTTTTCACGAAGCCCAGGTCCTCCATACCCCTTGGTCACCCAAAGACAAGAAATGTCATTCCTTCTTTAGTAAGGTCTTCAATACAAGCCACTGTAGCATTTCAAGGGCTAAACGCAGTGGTGAAATTCAATTTTTTTACTACCGGCTCTGTGGGTGTGGCTTGGTGGGCGTGGCAGGGGAAGGATACTGCAAAATCCCCATTCCCTCCTCACTTCTGGGGGAAGGATATTGCAAAATCTCCATTTCCTCCCTACTCTGTGACCAGCCAGAGCTGGTATTTGCCGGTTCTCTGAACTGCTCAAAATTTCCGCTACCAGTTCTCCAGAACCTGTCAGAACCTGCTGAATTTCAGCCCTGGATAAACTTCTGTTCCTGGAAAATGGAATTTCAAACATTGGAAAGTGGGAGAAAACACATAAAGGGTGTTTTCTCCCAGAGAGAAGCCACTGGATGGCCTCAGACGCTCAAAAATCTATAGTTAAACACTACTTTTTCTGTTTTGGAGCACCAAAATATCCCTCGGCTTAAGTCAACTTTAAAGTCACGTGGTGGAGCCCTTTTCGGCCACGATGGAGGCAACGTGTATGGTTTGAATTATGTGAAACCAGCTCCTGTTCCTTGGAGAACTGTAGGTTTTCTGTAAGACTTACAGCTGGGTAATTGAAAACGTCACCAGCTACAGGAAGTAGACCCGTGGAAATTATTTGCCGTGCAAACAGCAGTTATCTTTCAATCTCACCAGAAAGGAAGTGTCAGCCTGTCGCATCTTCTGAGCTTTTTCCTTCGTGGGTAAGTTATCGACTTTGTTTCAAATCGAATCAAATCTTTATTACGGTCCTGAATTTATCCATTTGTCTACCCCGTAAAAGCCCCAGAGTATTGTGCAAGGAAACCGCTCGATATCCAGATCCTTCTCCTTTTGCAATACGTCCAAAAACAGAATTGCAAAATAGATATAGCTGGAAAATATATAGCGGTATCTGGAAAACGGTACTGTGAAAAAGGAAAAAAAGTTTTTTTTTCCTCTCTATCTCTGTTAGAATAATTTTGCGAAGCGTAAAGAAAGGGTTAGATAGTTCCTGAGTGGGGAAGAAGCCACAGAGAAAGAGAAATAAATCTTTTATTAAAGTGAAATGTGGATGCTTGGGGCACAAAGCAGGAATCTCACCCAGCCCAGGTCTCAAATGCAGCATTGTTGACATTTTTTTTTGTTATCCGTTTCTAAATTAGGTTCCGTAAAAATAACCTTTCCTAAATTAAATTATTAGTGTGAAAATTTCTGAAGGTTTTTTTTTTTTTTGCCTCTGTGACTCCTGGCTCTAAATTCCCCTAGGAAAGATTAATCAAGCATCTACTACAAGGCTGTCCAAACTGTGGACTTCAACTCCCAGAATTCCCCAGCCAGCCAGGGGAATTCTGAAAGTTGAAGTCCTCAAGTCTTAAAAGTTTCCAAGATTGGACACCTCTGATCTACTATTAAGCATAATAACCTGTCTGCTCTGGGTACTTAAAAGGACACCCAGTAATAATCAGCAGATTTAGGGTTGGGATGAGTGCAACTTTTGTTTTCTGTAGCCAAACAGGGGCAGGAAAAAGAACAAGCTTAAAAAAAAAATAGTGTTGGTCCGAAGACAGTCATGTGATTTGCAAGGCTTGAAGTCATCCGTTTGAAATCGAGGTCTTCTGATCTAAGCGTCTGGGATAAACACCCATAAATCATTTCAGCCTTTTGGAGAGATTTGCGAGGCAGTATCTGGCGTCCTTCCTGAGCGTCGCAGAGAACAGTCTGACTAACGGAATAACAGAATAACAGTGTTGGAAGGGATTTTGGAGGTCTTCTATTCCAGGGGTCTCCAACCTTGGCAACTTTAAGCCTGGAGGAGGTTCAACTCCCAGAATTCCCCAGCCAGCTTTGCTTGACTCCCTCTTCTTTGGGGCAGCCCCTGAGATATTGGAAGACTGCTATCTTGTCTCCCCTGGTCCTTCTCTTCACTAGACTAGCCAAGCCCAGTTCCTGTAACCGTTCTTCAAATGTTTTAGCCTCCAGCTCCCTAATCATCTTTGTTGACTTTCTCTGCACTGTTTCCAAAGTCTCAACCTTCTTTTTTTATAATGGGGTGACCAAAACCGGATGCAATATTCTATCGACAGGAAGAAATGACAGAAGACAGAAAAGGGAGATGGAGAATGAAGGAAGAACATGTTGCAAAAAAAAAAAAAAATGATTACGAAGATGCTGAAAAAGGAAGTTTTTTAAAAAAAAGTTATTTTGTCTTTTTTTTAAAAAAAGGAGAAAAACTTTTTAATAAGTTTGTAAGCGAACGTTATAAGACAAGATCGGCCAAAACAGGATTAAAAGTTGTTTCTACTTAATTGCAAAATGAAGGAGGTGGTATTGGACGACAATGGCAGTATTTACAAAAGGCTTGTTTGCCTGTCATCTCCATCCTAAGGTGTTTAGGATTTTATTTATTTATTAAATTTGTTCCCTACAAGGTGACTCTAGGCTGGTTGGAGAATTCCGAGAGTTGAAGTCCACAAGTCTTAAAGTTGGCAAGCTCAAGGGACAGTGCTCTAAACTTTGAAGGCCAAAATCCCATAGGATGCATTCAAATTCATAATTCATCCCTAATCAGTAATTCTCAATTAAGAAATCCTGTTTACCCCCCCACATTTCGTGCCTTTAATTAGCCTCCTGCACTCAGAGTTGCTACTGAACTGTCTCCTTTCCAAGCCAGCAGTCTGGTGATGCCTCAAGAAGACACATAAACCACAGAGGAATGCAAGGCGAGGCACCCAAGGGAAGGGTGGGAAGTGGAAAATTTTCTCCAGCTTTATAACTTTTTTTTTTTGCAGCCAGCTTTTCCATTTCCAAGCAAATAATAATAATAATAATAATAATAATAATAATAATAATAATCCGACGATACTTTAACAGTTCCTAGGTCCTTGGTTAGGACTCGAGCTGCTGAGCTATTAACCAGCCTCAAAGGCTGTGAATCTCACTAAAGATTAACCAATAAATAATAATAATAATAATAATAATAATAATAATAATAATAATAATAATAAAAAATGCATGACTTCCAGAATGAATATGAAATCCCAATTCTAAGGTAGTGAATCCATCAAAGTGAAGAGTTTGTCACTTTGAGAATAATTGGATTTTAAATTTGAGTTATTTTGAGAATCACTTGGTTGGATTAGGAGACTTCCACGGTGTCCCTTCCTCCCGGTCTCTTATTCTGTATTCTAAGTATACTTAGTGAAGCAAATATTTATGTTAGGGTACCCAAGATGCTTCTTTGGGCTAATAAAATTCTGTACTTACTTAATTCGCAGCCCAAACGATGCCATCTGGGCTCATTAGAAATTCGAGAAAACCCTAGACTTTTAACCCAAAGGTGCTATTTTCAAGAGGCAACTGGACTTTCGCTTCTCGTCCAAGAAAAGCTTCTTTAAGGAAAACAAAAAAGTCCAGTTGCCTCTTGAAAAGTGCACCTTTGGGACATCCATGATCTGGATGGCTGAGAATCTCTGTAGACATTAGATAAGGTGGATTCAGACTTACGACCCCCTGATCAGTTTAATGACTTTGGTGACTCGTTTTAACGACTGTCCTAAAAGCGGTTGGAAAATCGAGTCCGTTCCTGTGGTGACACCACTGTCAGTGACTTAGCACCAAAATTCCGGGTTCAATTGTGGTCATAAGATGAGGATTGGCTGCAATGCACGTTGGGGAACAAACTTCAAAAGAAACTCCGGTTTGAGATTTGGAGACGGATGTAAAACCTGCTTTCTACCCGACGGAAAGAAATCAGAAGTGCAAAGCAGAGAAAAAACCGATGTTCCTCCAAAAGCAGAGGTTCTCCTTTGTGCTGAGGGTGGTTTCTGTTTTAATGCTGCATTGTCTTGGGTTGGGTTTTGGGGAAGCTGCTTGGAGTCTCATCAGATAGAACAGCTTGCGTAATGCAGAACGCCAGCAGACGTGACCCCTTCATGGGCAGATTTTCAAAATAGTTAAGGAAAAAATAAATAAATAAAGCTGGCATGAAGCTTGGGCAGTTAAGAACTGACGGGTAAAATATGCTTTTGAATACTCAGGAAAGAGCCACATGGCATTCAATGCAAAATGCTGTTCCTTATCGCAGCACAAGACATGTTTGTAAAAGAAACAAACCAACCATACTGGTAACCCATTTTCTTCTAACGAAGGGGAAGAATTTCAGTTCCTTTTGGATAACGGACACACATAGGCCACTTTGAGAGGGCTTAGGCAGTGAGAAAGGGACGTGGTGGCTCAGTGCCTAAGATGCTGAGCTTGTCGATCGAAAGGTCGGCAGTTCAGCGGTTCGAATCCCTAGTGCTGTCGCGTAACGGGGTGAGCTCCTGTTCCTTGTCCCAGCTTCTGCCAACCTAGCAATTCGAAAGCACGTAAAAAAAAAAAATGCAAGTAGAAAAATAAGGACCGCCTTTGGTGGGAAGGGAACAGCGTTCCGGGCGCCTTTGGCGTTGAGTCATGACGGTCACATGACCACGAAGACGTCTTCGGACAGCGCTGGCTCTTCGGCTTTGAAACCGAGACGAGCACCGCCCCCTTGAGTCAGGAACGACTAGCAGCGGGAACCTTTACCTTTAGGCAGTGAGACAGGCTGTATTTACTGTGGTCGGTCGCTACAGGGGGGTGGGGGGGGCGAAATGCAATTCGATCCTTTCGTGTTTTTATTTGCTTAAAAGGAAAGGCGATGCTTTTCCAGGACAACGGAATCGGGATGGGAGCATCTGATTGAGCCATTATACTTTTTTTTTTTGCCAGTTTCGCCTAAAGAAACCCTTAACTTTAGGAATTTATAACCGCTATCAGGTGTACATTCGCACATGCACCTTAGCAACTAACAGCATCATCAGATAAAAGCTAAATTACCTTCAGAAGAAAAGTATTAATAACTCTGTGATGAGGCCTGGGTGGTATTTCAAACTGTAAGGACCTCAAAGTAAGGTTAAAATTCTCTTATTGCAAATTTGTACATTTCTTGACTATTGTTCTGAAACAGTCAGCAGGGAAACTCATACAGATTTTACATTAAACACTGACCTAGTCTATATACCCTGTTTCCCCGAAAATAGGACCCAACTGGAAAATAAGTCCTAGCGTGATTTTTCAGGATGCTCATAATATAAGCCCTACCTCTAAAATAAGCTCCAGTTAAGATTGTCAGCCAGATGGGTGCATTTAGTACCATATTTCCCTGAAAACAAGACCCAGCCAGAAAATAAGCCCTAATGCGTCTTTTGGAGCAAAAATTAATATAAGACCTGGTCTTATTTTTGGGGAAACACGGTATTTCTAAATAAACTTTCTCTTTTGGATATGGGCTTATAACTTTACTGCCTTCATCTGGGCTTCTTCAGAAATATATTGGGCCTTTTGCCTTCCTTTGCATGAGACCTCTCCGGTTTATTGTGACTTAACCTCCTTTAAAGCTCTCTCCTTCTCTTCCCTTTCAGCTCCCGTGGGGCCTACCGCCCTCCTAAAAATGCTCCCACACAACATGACCTGGGTGAAATACCCAACCCTGAGCAAGGATCCCTCCACCAACTTCCAAGAGATTATGTTCGCGCAGCAAGTCATATCAAGGTTCATGCACGTCTACATCGCTGTCTTTGTGCCGATGGGTTTATTAGCCGGCATCGTTATCCTGGGCATTTGCATCCAGAATTATCGAAATCGCATCCTGGACAAAATAGACATCTTGTTTTTTTCCCAGACGATCATCAACCTCTTTGTCATCCTTCTATCGCTCACCATCGCCGTGCGGCCGGCTTACCTCAAAATGTCCTACCTCGGGTGTGGGACGCTGTCGTTCTTCTTCAACCTGGGTTACTTCTCTTCCCAGTTCCTCCTCCTCTTAATCATTCTGAGCCTTTTCCTCGACAGGCACCCGCCTCAAAATGCTCTAATTGGCAAGGCGCACCAGAGGCCAGAGGCGTGTGTCGGTTTTGTCCTGATGTGCGGTTTCTGCGCCGCCTTGATGCTGAGCGGGCTGCTGGGCATCGAACATTACCAGGAAGAAACGGACTGCCAACTGGATCCCTTGTTTGCCTGGCCCGAATACGAGATCATTAAATTCGCCTTGGGGTTTTGCGCTCCGTCGTTAGCCAAGCTCCTGCTCTCTATTCTAGCGTTTGTGAAAAAGACGCCGGCGGGTCAATATTCCTCAAGAAAAACCAGCCAACCACTTTGGGCTGTTTTGGCCATTGTGGTGAGCATGTTGTCGTGCCGTCTGTTTTATAACACCTTGATCTTGGCTAGGACCGGCTTGAAGATAAAGGGCGAGGCAGGGACGGTTCGGAACGAGCTGATCATGAATGTCTCCGAGGTGGTTTTGTTTTGCGAAAGCTGCGCGAGTTTGGTGCTTGTCCTCTTCCTGCATCACCCCTACAGGACCACTCTGCGGAATACGCTTAAAAACCTCACAAGGGCTTGTAGGAAGAGACGGGATGCCAACTGGGCCCCTGAAATTCAAGACAATCAAACCGGACTTTCCGAAATGCGCTGACATTGATTGTCCAAGATACTAAGACTCGAAGAACTGGGCATCAGCGGACGTCTACCACAACCAGAAACTGATTTTCCTCATTCGTCAGCGGCGGGAAAAATACCGATGTTTTTCTCAAGGGGGTACACCTTGATGGTATGAGGACTACTACCCTCCCCATAACTCTGCCCGGGTTTCATGACAGGCTGGTATTTTGTTCCGATAGGCCTGATCGATGGGACAGTAGGCCAGGCGATTATGTGATCAAACAGGACTTTGGAAGAAAAGAAAAGGAAAAAAAAAATCTGCCTTCGTTTCATTTCTGTATAATCAGGATTTTTGGGGGCGGGTGGGGGGCGGGGAGGTGAGTTTTTGAAGTTTACAGAAGGGCTTTTATTTTTCCAGGATCAGTAAGAGGAAATAATGAAAGTGTATGCGAAAGGGACGGCAGAAAGAGAAAGGGGATTCCCTAAAGGTGACCCCCCCCTTTTAAAATCTTGCCATTGAGAAGGGGCAACCACCAGTGGGAACTCTCTAGATCAAGGGTTTTCTAGAGCAGCTTGCTGGCTGAGGAATTCTGGGAATTGAAGTCCACAAGTCTTAAAGTGGCCAAGGTTGGAGACCCCTGATCTAGATTCCCCCAACCCCTTAAAAACAGCCCTTTTCCTTTATTCGGCGAGCACGGATCATTTTTTTCAAAACAAGTAAATACAGGCAGTCCTTGACTTATAACAGTCCGTTTAGTGACCGTTCAAAAGTTGCAATGGCACTGAAAAGAGTGATTTATGATCGCTTTTCACACTTACGACGACGGCAGCGTGCTCGTGGTCACATGATCAAAAGGCGGCTGCATGGCCATTGGTTCCTATTTATGACAGTTGCCGTATCTTGGGGTCAAAGGATCCCCCTTTGGAGACACTTTCTGACCACAAAGCCTAATGGGGAAGCCATTCACTTAACAACCGTGGCAAGGAAGGTCGTAAAGTGGGACAAAACGGATTTTAACAAATGTCTTGCTCAGCCACATAAATCCTGGGCTCATCTGCCGTCGTAAATCGAGGACTACCTGGAAATAAGCCAGCCTATGAAAGCATCCAGCTTTTGAGATCCGAGCCGGCAGAAAATCTGGCCACCTTCTAAAAGGTTTTGCAGCTTAGTTGAGGCTCGGAGTAAAGAGCATTGGGGGGGGGGGGGAAAGAGCTAAAACTTAACCACACATCGCAAAAGGACGGACGCCGTCGACCGCCAGCACAAGGCGAAGAGGTTGACGACCAGAAAATGTGGATTGCGGTGTCAACGGCAAAGGAAGAATCTTGTTTGCAGAGTGTGACAAGGGGAAGCAGGTTGCTCGGAAATTCCCTTCTCGGTGATATGAGAACAGGCTCCCGGGGGGGGGGGGGGGGGGGGGGGGGGGGGGGGCCTTGATCAATTCTGGCCAAAGGCTCAACTGATGGGACGAAGACGAAGGCCGGGCTAAAATGACATAAACTGCTGAAAAAGGATGAGGGACAGTGAAGGAGCCTGGGACCTCTTGATGCCACTCGGGATCGTTAAAAAAAAAATAAATGGATGGGAAACAGATTAGGTTAAGCTATTGTTTAATGCACTGTAAGCCGCCCTGAGTCTCCGGAAAAGGGTGGCATATAAATCGAACCAATAAATAAATAAATGACGCCAGGATTGATGGCTAGGGAAAAAACCCCAAAAGAGGATAAGGACAAGCGTTCTCCCTCCGTGAATAAAGCAGGGATCTTCCAAACTGAATAACTTTTAAGACTGGAGTAGACTGCAACTCCCAGAATTCCCCAGCCGGCATGTACGCAGCTAAAAATTTAGCCACAGAATAAAGGGATCAAAAACCATTCTTTTTATTCATTTATTATTATTATTATTATTATTGCAAATAACGCCTGTCTTCTATGTTTGTTCTCTCTTGCTTCGCTACGTACCGTAAAAAATAGTTCAGTAAATATTACAGGACTGGTTGACACGGTCCTTAGTGACCATCTGTGTACTATTAGAGAAAACACACACGTACACACAGTGTGTCCTCTCTTCCCCATGAAAAAATAAAATAAAATGTGAATTTTGGTTGCAAAAAAAGAGGGGGGGGGAAAAAGTCGGAATGAATCCTTTAAATTCCTAACCCGATTAGGACTCCTTGTGGGACCAATGCTTCTTTCAATGTTGGCTTTTCCACCACGTCTTTCTTCCTCAGCCCCATCAAACGATGCTGTTCAAATCAATGACGTGGGCCCGGGGTATTTGCACGATCACCTCCTACCGGCCTCCTACCGGCCTCCCACCGCCCCAGTGCGCTCACATAGGGCTGCCCTCCTCCGGGTCCCCTCGGCTAGACAGTGTCGGCTGGCGGCCTCCAGGATGAGGGCGTTCTCTGTGGCCGCACCGACCCTCTGGAATGGGTTGCCCACCGAGCTCCGGACGGCCCCCGACCTCCGCACCTTTCACGCCGACCTAAAGACACAGCTCTTTCACCAACTTCCCTGATCTGCCGTGGATTTTAATTTGGGTATTTGAGGATTTTTAATTTGGTTTTAATACTACTTAATTTTTACTTATTGTTGGGTTTTTCTATTGTTGTGAGGCGCTCCGAGTCCTATGGGAGAAGGGCGGCATATAAATCTGACTAAATAAATAAATAAATAAATAAATAAATAAATAAATAAATAAATAAATGCTAAAAGCTGCCCAATCTCACGCATGGGACCATCTCAGGTCTGTGGGGTAGTAAGTGCGCAAGCCAGGAGGGGGCTTGGAGTGCTAAAACGCCCATCAGAAAAATTACAGTTTGTTCAATTAGCAAAATCCTGCCTCTCCTTCTGAGATGTCACGATTATTCAGGCAACGAGCAAGGCCACATATGACGAAGATATGCGAGGGAGGTGCTTGCGCCCTGGTTAGAATTCCTGAGATACGTAAAATAAAGATTAAAAAAAAGAAAAATTAACGTGGGCAGCAATTAATACCCTTTTGCTACCCTGAGATCCCATTTAGAATTAAGCTTCTGGCTCACTTCTGCTTTGCTCTTCATTGCACAACAGGTTGCAAACAATGGGCTTTTCTGTGCATGCCAATAGGACATGATTTTTCATTGGTTTCTCTCTCTCACACACAAATCATTTTTCTAGCAAGCACCAACAGGATGTTAGAAACTTCTTGGGGTCTAATATTTGTTTCCTGTGAGGAGGAGGGGGAGAGGAGGAAGATGGAGAAGGAGAAAGAGGAGGAGGAGGAGGAGAAAGAGAAAGGGGGAGGGGGAGGAGAAGGAGGGAGGAGGAGGAAGAAGATGGAGAAGGAGAAAGAGGAGGAGGAGAAAGAGGATGGGAAGGGGGGAGGAGGAGGAGGAAGAAGAGGAAGAGGAAGGAGGAAGGGCAATTCAAACACGCAGGCTATTTCTTCCTCCTGGGACAATTAAGGAAATGCAATTATACCAACCCATAAGCTAAATGGGAAAAAATCCCCCATAGCAAAAGTAAGATGAGTGGGAACGGCTAGACTAAGTACAGCGACAGCACACTGAACTCACATTATCCCTTTACCTGGAGCCTCTGTTCTCTTAATCTCCCATTTTTCCTGCAAATGTCTGGACCGTAAGTATCTGGGCAGCCAGGGCTTAAATTTCGATGGGCTTGGAGATCAGCACTCCTGCCAATTAGATGTCATTTTATATTGTAGAGCCACATCAATTGTACACCGATTTCAAAAAAAAAAAAAAAAAAAGCATGGGAAAACTTTACTTTCTAACCCAAAACGATGTATATCTTCAATATGCATTGATTTTATTTTTATTTTTTTTTTGGTCCTCTTAAAGGATTTTATTAGAAAGTAAAATAAATTAATTAAAAAGGAAGTCCTCCACTTATGACCACAACTGAGCCCAAAATTTCCATTGCTGGGACGGTTAAGAGAGTTCTGCCCCGTGACATGACCTGTTTTGCCACAGTTGCTAAGTGAAGCACTGCAGCCGTTTAAGTTAGCGACAGAGTCGCGAAGCGGATCTCGCTTCCTGCATTATCAGAAGGTTGCAAAAGGAGATGATGTGACCCCCGGACACTGCAACCTGTCGTAAATATGAGTCGGTAGCCAAGCGTCTGGATTTTGGTCATGTGTCCCCAGGGATGCTGGAACAGTCGTAAGTGTGAAAAATGGTCATAAGTCACTTTTCTTAGCGCTGTTGTAACTTCAGTCACTAAACAAATGGTTGTAAGTCGAGGACTACCGTAACTTTTAAGGGTGGGGGGGAGGGAAATGACATAGTCAGGAATTATCAACATGCATGAAAGAGGTATGAAAATTGTATTTTTTAGAGTTCCTAAAACAGGGGTCTCCAACCTGGGCAACTTTAAGCCTGGGGACTTCAACGAAGAGCCTTAGTAGTACAGTGGTCTAAAGCACCCTGTTATTAAGACCAGCCGCCTGCAACTACTGCAGGTTCGAATCTCGCCAGGCTCAAGGTTGACTCAGCCTTCCATCCTTTCTAAGGTAGGTGAAATGAGGACCCAGTTTGTGGGGGCAATAAGCTGACTTTGTATAAATATACAAAAGGATGAAGGTTATTGCTTAGCGCATTGTAAGCCGCCCTGAGTCTCCGGAGAAGGGCAGCATATAAATCAAATTAAAAAAAAAAAAAAAAACTCCCAAAATTCCCTAGCCAGCAAAGCTAAAGGTAAAACTAAAGCCTGCCCTAAAGGATGGTTTTTGAAGATCTTCACAAGAATCTCAAGGAGAATAAAAACGTTAACAGTACAAACTGTACCGAAAGCCAGGTCTTTTCCATTACTAATTTCTCTTCCACAACGTGCCCCAAGCCAAGATATTTTGGACGTGGCCACCGTTCAACTAGGAGAGAAGTTAAGATCCAACCTGCCAAGATGGGGACTGACAGCAGATACGTCCAGAAGGTTAGGAAAAGCTTTCAGAGCCAAGTTATTTCGTGGCTGGCCGATGAGCAGAGAAAGGATTTCCAAAAAAAGCAGGGACCTTCACACCGGAGAATGGAGGGCACTTCGCTTCCTTTCATAACGGATGCATAGAATGGGAAAAGTATACGGGGTTTTCACCGGAACAAACACTTGGGAGTGGCACCTCAAAAGTTAAACAAAAGTCTCCCTCTATTCATACATCCATCTCCCTCTCTCCCTCTCCCTCTCCATCATCCCTCGATCATCCACCAATATGTCTGTCTCTCTCTCTCTATATATATATATTCTCTATCTATCTATCATATCTATGATATCTATCTATCTATCATCTATCTATCTATCTATGATATCTATCTACCAATCATCTATCAATCTATCTATCATCTATCTATCTATCATCTATCAATCATCTATCAATCAATCATCTCTATCTATCTATCTATCTATCTATCATCTATCTATCTATCTATCTATCTATCTATCTATCTATCTATCTATCTAATGTTGTGTGAGCTTTCATAGTTCTTGGTCAACAAAAGCTGATGCAATGAGATTTTTTTGTATCTCTGTCTACTTCTTTGAAATCTGCATTAACAATCCAGCGTTGCCCAATCTTGGCCACTTTTAAGACCAGCAATGGCCCAGACAATTCTGGGAGTTGTAGTCCACCAGTCTTCAGGTGGCCAAGGTGCCCCTTGACACCCCTGAGTTAAGACTATAGCCACAGGAGGGAAGTTTTAATTTTAAAATTTTAATTGAAACCTAAAGAGGGGAGGTGGAAGAGGGGAGTGGGCTTGGTGCACAGACTTTTGTGAAAGCTAAAATTAAATACACAATTTGTGTCGTTCTTTAAGCCGGTGGTTCTCAACCTTTCCTTCACCACAACCATACCCTCCCCTTTTAAAATCTTTTGTGGCCATGGAGCAACTTCTGGAGGCAAATTATTCCATGGATTGATTGCTTTCAACATTAGGAAATTTCTCCTTAGTTCTAGGTTGCTTCTCTCCTTGGTTAGTTTCCGTCCATTGTTTCTTCTCTTGCCTTTTGGTGCTTTGGAAAAATAAGCTGACCCCCTCATTATAGTAGCAGCCCCTCAATACTTTAATACCCCTTTTAATGAGACACGGTGGCTCAGTGGCTAAGACGCTGAGCTTGTCGATCAAAAGGTCGGTTCGAATCCCCAGTAATGGGGTGAGCTCCCGTTCTTTGTCCCAGCTTCTGCCAACCTAGCAGTTCGAAAGCAGGTAAAAAATGCCAGTAGAAAAATAGGGACCACCTTTGGTGGGAAGGGAACAGCGTTCCATGCGCCTTTGGCGTTGAGTCATGCCGGCCACATGACCACAGAGACATCTTCGGACAGCGCTGGCTCTTTGGCTTTGAAGCGGAGATGAGCGCCACCCTCTAGAGTTGGGAACGACTAGCACATATGTGCAAGGGGAACCTTTACCTTTAATACCCAGAACTTACTCACAGACTACAAACACACACACTTCAAATGCACATATGATGAACTGTCCCCAACTGTCAGAAAAACTTCTCCTTATTTCTAAGGTTGGGTCTTAATGAAAGGGGTCCTGATGAGAAGACCACTGTGCCTAAAACTTTGCATCTGCCTTCTTGAGAAAGATGGATTGCTGAGCTGAAGAGGGTGTGGGGGAGAGGGAGGGAGGGAGGGAGGGAGGGAGGGAGGGAGAGAGAGAGAGAGAGAGAGAGAGAGAGAGAGAGAGAGAGAGAGAGAGAGAGACTGACATGGCACACAGAGAATGGAGCATCCCTTTCTCCAGAGGGAGCACGAGAGAGAGATCCGAGCGCTGAGCCGGTGGCCTGTTGGACTTGGCTGTCATTCCATTCCGAAAGCAGAATTCAGCTCAGCTGCTCAACCCGCTTTTTCCCACAGCCGGTAGATCGATTCTGGCTGAGCAACCACCAGGTGGGAGGGCAGGGGGGGGGGGTCAGTGCCTCTGTCAACCGGCTTCCTCCCCAGACGAAGAAAATCACTTTCCACCTGTGGCATCAGGACTTAGAAAGGGATGGGCTGAAGGTTGAAAAAAAGGACGCCTGAGAACGGTTATTTCAAACAGACGGAAACATGCCGGCGATCCAGAAGAGAAACCGGGTGAACAAAGAAAGGTAAGGTGATCTTATTTGACTTGCTAATTTTTGGGGGGATTCGATCGGCCTCTTCTTCGTGTCTCTGTTTTCATCTCTTTCGTTGCTCCGGTTTGCGATGCTTGCCATGAAGTCCTTAAAGTGAAGCTTCCTTAAGTTAGCAGAGCCGGTGCAATGGCATCTGGCTTTATCTTCGTATTTAAATAGGTGTTCAAAGAAAAAGGAAAAGCGAGAGGGAGAAGGGCAAACAATTCTTGAAAGGAGGATTTAAAAAAAAAAAAAAAAAAAAAGCAAACGAACTCATTCAACTGGTGAGAAGGAAAAAAACCAGTCAGCAGAAACGGAGTTAAGTTTCAACAAGGGTTTTTTTGTTGTTTTTTTTAAAGTTGGAGACGAGACCGTCTATAATCTTTTTTTTTTTATTGGTACAATCTGATGTCAGCTATTAATCTGTTGCCAGTAACAATTTTAGCACTTTTGAAGTGCCTTTTTCTTTTCTTTTTTTTTTTAAAAAAATATGTAATTCCATTTCTAGCAAGAACCATACCTCTGTGTACGCTGGTATCATCTGAATAAAATTAATTTCAATTACTGGACCGTAGAGATGCTGCCCTTAAATATAAACCAGCCTACTGGTAGTTGGAAGGAAACCAGCTCTGGATCAGCTAATATTTATGGATGTCCAGCTGTGTACAATAAATGCAGAAATAAATGAACCTGAGGACAGCTGAAAGTAAGGAATGTTACTGAAATACTGTGGGCTTTTTGGCACATATTGTGCCTAAATGGATTGTTACCAAAGCAGCATTGTTTCTAAAAAAAAAACCCCAAACAAACCATATCATGCACTTTAGTGTACTTCATGGTTGTTTATAAAAAAAAGGATTTAGTGTCCTCTTTCAGGAATAAGGCTTTTTTTAAAAAGCAGGTTAAAATACAGATGTGCTATGCTTCATCCTACAAGTCAAACTTTTATAAGATTTTTCACACTTTTGAAAGGACGTTTTAATCGTAAAAACTGGCTCAGTGACAGTGCCACGGTAATTCAAACATTACAGCATTTAGGTAAGAAAGTCATTCTTTTTGGTTCTCGAAATAAAACAAGAACCAAACCCATGAAACTTACTTCCTGCACGCGATCCCTGACTTACAACTCACGAGCAAGACATCAGAACTACAAGCCATCGATTAACTTCAAAGGAACATGGTAGACAGTCCGCTCAACGAGTCCTAGCGGTATTTAATTAAGCCAGGATCAAACTGTGGCTCAGACACGTCTAGGACAAACAGAAGCCACCAAGTAAAACAATCAAAATGCCTTTTTTTCGCTGACAAAATGTGCTGCTCAGTTTCTTCGCACACCGTGCCTGAAAACTGTCAAGTCCTCTGGATAGCTCCTTTTGTTAATATATTTCGATTTTTTCAGAAGAAGAGTAAAAGAGGGAGAGGTTTTAACAGAAACAGCAGCTACTTAAGGTGCATTTTTTGGGAAGCCTTCCATTCTTAAGATAGATTCCAGGCAGTCTCTTAATCGCAATTAAAAATGTGCACTAATTAGACAGATTCTTTTTATTTAAAAAAAAAAGGGGGGGGGAGTAAAAAAAAAACCAGGAAAATCTCTTTTTTTTCTCCCTCTAGTCTGTAAAGATTTATCTTTTTTTTCAGCCATAGGAGGAGATAATTCTACGGGCTGTTAACAGTTATCTATAAGGAGAAAGAACTCAATTCAGGGGAAAGCTGATCTCTTGTTTCTCCCCAAATCTGCTCCATTTCTGATTTTTATCCTTTCCTTGAAAAAGCAACCCTAAGAGGCACTTTTCCTCTCGCCACTAAATGGATCTCAGCTGTCAAAAGATGCTTGTTTGTTTAGCGCTTTCTGCACTTAACATGGGCACGTCCCCGGCCTGTGCGGTTCCTCTCACTAAACCCCCAAAGACAATAGCCGGAGTTTACAAGAGCAGATGCCGAAGTCGTTCGTGTTGCTATACACCGCTGAATGCTTCCAATTTTGCAGAAGAGAGATTAATTTTCTTTTTCATGAATTGCAGGTCGAGCGTCCGCTGCGGGTCAAACAGCAGGAGGCAGTCCTAGATGGCTCCGCATCTTTCAAACCGTGAGCAGGCCTTCAAGGGAACCAAAATGCACACCTGTCCAAAACTGCCTCTATTGCTATTAAAAAGTTCCTTAGTGAATTCACGACGTGAATTCACAGGCACTCATCCTACTGAGGATTAGCCTCTTCCCATGTTCTCCAAGAAGTTCCGAAGATTCTAACCGATTCGGCCTTCGGAGGCTACAAACATGATCTCCGCAGATCTCTTTGGAACCACGGCCCACCTGAACAGCCTGGCGCAGAAATCCAGGTTTACATATTTCGCGGAGAATCACACCACGGGAATTTACGCAGGAACTGCCTCCCCGGCGCTGTGTAACGGCACCTACTTTGAACTCAACGGATCCCGTTTTTGCAACGAGAGCTGGGCCCTCAACCTGGTCGACAGATCCGAGCATCAGCAGTACGTGATCGGCCTTTTCTTATCGTGCCTCTACACGATATTCCTCTTTCCCATCGGCTTCGTGGGGAACATCCTGATCTTGGTGGTGAACATCAGCTTTCGTGAGAAGATGACCATCCCCGACCTCTACTTCATTAACCTCGCGGCGGCCGATCTGATCCTGGTGGTGGACTCCCTCATCGAGGTGTTTAACCTCGACGAGAAGTACTACGACATCACCGTCATCTGCACGTTCATGTCCTTGTTCCTCCAGATCAACATGTACAGCAGCATCTTCTTCCTCACCTGGATGAGCTTCGACAGGTACATGGCCCTGGCCAAAGTCATGAAGTCCAACCTGTTCCGCACCATGGAGCACGCCAGGCTCAGCTGCGGCCTCATCTGGCTGGGCTCCATTTCGGCCGCCCTGGTGCCCTTCACGGCCGTCCACTTGCAACACTCGGGGGAGGTGCACTTCTGCTTCGCCGACGTGGCTGAAATCCAGTGGTTAGAAATCACGGTTGGGTTTATCATCCCCTTCGCCATCATCGGCCTCTGTTACTCGTTAATTGCCCGAGTCCTGATCAGCGCCCACAAGCACCGGAGTTTGCGCCTTCGCCGGCAGAAAGCTCTGCGCATGATTTTCGTGGTGGTCCTGGTTTTCTTCATTTGCTGGCTGCCGGAAAACGTGTTTATTAGCGTGCAGCTTCTCCAGAAGACCGAAGAGTCTTCATCCAGAGGCCGTTCTTTCAGGCATAACTATCCCTTAACGGGGCACATAGTCAATCTGGCAGCCTTCTCCAACAGCTGCCTGAACCCGCTTATCTACAGCTTCCTAGGGGAGACTTTCAGGGACAAACTGAAGCTGTATATTGAACAAAAGACCAAAGTCTCCATGTTAAACCGCCTTTGCCACGCGACGCTGAAATCGGTCATTTCGGAGAGCGCCGAACAGTCAGAAGTTTAGCTTAGCCATGAATAGACTCTGCTCACTCCTGCTTCTTACTAACAGAAAAAGTGCAGGTTTTGTCCCACTTGCCATGTTTTTACAAGAACGTGTAAAACGTGACTTAGGGACTGCTTTAGTTACGGAGGAGAATGACAGCTTCACCCGAAGGTCAGTTACATTTATATAGGCAAGGAATCCGACAATTACTTATGGAAAAATGTAACTATAATACGATTCTTGAATATTGTTATTCACCTGATCTATGTTAGATGCCCTAGGAAATATAATAAAACTGCAGCAACATTGGGAAAAATTCAATAGAAGCTATTGATATTAGGAGGCAGAGAAGTCAGTGGTTTTCCACTCCTATATAGATCATCTTGCAAACTCAGTTAAGGAAACAGCTACCGTGTTCAACACACGATTCAATCTCAGGCAGACGTATTCTCTGACATCAACTGAATTAAGGGAAACAGGGAAGCAATCTGGGTTTAGAGCCCTTCTCCTGCTGTCATTTTCAAAACGGGTCAGCCAACGTGTTTTGGATTTTCGGTGCGGATGGGAATCGGTTTGTAAACTAAGCACGGTACATAAGGCACACAGAGTAACAGATTTGGATGGGACCTTAGAGGTCTTCTAGTCCAGCCCCCTGCTCAAGCAGGAAACCGTATACCATTTCAGACAGGTGGCTGTCCAGTCTCTTCTTAAAAACCTCCAGTGATGGAGCACCCACAACTTCTGGTGGCAAGCTGTTCCACTGGTTAATTGCTCTCACAACAAAAGGCCAGTACCAAACCCAGTGATCTCCTCTGAGATCTTTCAAAGTATTCTTTATGCAGCATTATGAGTTCCAGAGATTCCCACATAGCAAATGCATATTCGAATTGCTACCTTCCGGCTACTCTATTGAAGAGCTGGGATTTAGGAGAAAAGGGAATCTTGGTGGATCCTTGTCTAAAAAAACTCATTGGTTCCTTAGGTCTTTGAGACCCAGATTTCAACGTCCTCTTATTTATCACTGAGGGACTGCAAGGGTCGGACAGCAGCTACCAAAATCCTTCTGTGTTAGGAGGGTTGTGAGAATACAGACTTGTGAGCATCTCCGGCAACGCTAGCACAACTGACATTGCTGCCCTGCTGGTCCTCGGCCTGAGCGGAGGGTGCAGATGGATCTGAGGTTTTCAGATTATTCCTGCGTGGCAGGCTTCCTTCCAAGGTTCTTCTCCAGCGTGGGCTGCGGACTCTCAGTGCCTGTGCATTATGGGTCCTGCCTGCTGTCCTCGGCATAGGCCTGGCTGGCATGCTGAAAGATAGGAGGCGTAAAGAGAGAAAGCTCAAAGGCTTGATGGGCCATCTGAATCTTTAAAAAAAATCACTAAATGACGGGGGAGTCTCTTATTTTTTCACGGCACTAAATCCGCTAAGTACTGCAAGTCTAAACCTAATTAATAATTTGGAGATCTGAACAAAGTACGATCAGGTATGCAATTTATTAAAGCAGCTGCTGTTTCTTACAAGAAAAACACTCAGCTAAAGCTGGACTGAAACCTTAGGAAAAGTTTTACAAAGGGAAAATAAATACTTGGTGCAGAATTAAGAGTCACTCTATGTCCATATGAAATAGCTGGGCAGCTCCCACTGTTACGAACCTCTCTCTCTCATAGGTGTTCTCATAGGTGTTCCTAATACTCAGCATTTACTCACAGACTTCCGGCAGACTTTTAAATTCACAAGCCTCGTCTTGGGGATCAGCTCTGAGCTTGCATTGCCTAGAACTGAGAGATAATCTACAATCTCACCTCATCTTTAGATGAAAAGCTAAAAAGTCAACAGGAGCTAACTGGGTGACAAGCTCCTGTTTCCCCCACCATCCCACCCTTATTCTTTGAATTTCATCTGTCATATGGACAGCAATACCGCCCTCTTTACACTCAAATGTAAGGAAATATCAAAGATTTAAACCCTCTAAAATGCTGCATTAAAGAATCGTGGGGTTTTTTTGTGGCTTCTGTTGTAGTATTTTACGGCTGGATCCCAGTCAAATTAAACGGATGGAAAGTCAGCTATGATTTGAATCCTGTTGCAATTTCAGTGGGATTTAAGTGCTATTTCGTCTGGATCAAGGATAAAGCGACCTCTTGTCTTTGGTGGGAAAGTTTTGGACAAAGAGGAACAGAGAGAGAGAGAGATGCCTTCAGCCACAGCCTGGCCTGGCAGCTTTCCAGCGTTGCAATGAATAAATGTTAAACCAACAGCATGCTCTCGTTTCTACTCGCAGTTATCTAACTGAGCCAATCTGTTTGTGGAGCCCTTGGGAACAGTCAAGAGTCCAGTGTGCGCCGGCCACAGGGTGGGCTGATCACGAGAGCATAATAAAAACCCAGCCGTTTTCACAAGGAATGCCAGATCCCCTTTTAATAATCTTAAAAGCTTTCCCTCCGTGGGGATGCGAATTACGAAAGACAGAAAGTGGTTGCAGCATTGTGGAAAAAGCAGCAAACAGCACCCACATTCTGGGGGAGAAAAACACCACACAGCGAGGAAGGTAACCCATGAGAAAAATCTGTCCACAGAAGGAATTATGAGAAGTCTGGTTATGTGGGATGTCATTCAAAATTCAGGAGCCTGAATAGCTCAACAGACAGAGCTCTGTAATTTAACACCAGCTGTCTGCAATTAAAGTAAGATCGAATCCCGCCAGGCTCAAGGTTGACTCAGCCTTCCATCCTTTCTAAGGATGGTAAATTACCTTTCTAAGGTAGGTAAATTGAGGACCCAGTTTGTGGGGGCAATAAGCTGACTTTGTATAAAAAAATATACAAAAGGATGAAGGCTATTGCTTAACGCATTGTAAGCCGCCCTGAGTCTCCGGAGAAGGGCGGCATATAAATCAAATTAAAAAAAAATAAAAATGGCCAGGGATGCAACTCGCTTCAAACACAACTTCAATCCATCAGAGTAAAGCTGGAAGGGACCTTGGAGGTCTTCTAGTTCAACCCCCTGCCCAGGCAGGAAACCCTACACCACTTCAGACAAATGGTTATCCAACATCTTCTTAAAAATTCCCAGTGTTGGAGCATTCACAACTTCTGCAGGCAAGTTGTTCCACTGATTAATTCTTCTCACTGTCGGGAAATTTCTCCTTAGTTCCAGGTTTGCTTCTCTCCTTGGTTAGTTTCCATCCATCGCTTCCTGTCCTGCCCTCTGGTGCTTTGGAGAATAGCTTGACTCCCTCTTCTTTGGGGCAGCCCCTGAGAGATTGGAAGACTGCTATCATGTCTCCCCTGGTCCTTCTTTTCTCTAGATCGGCCATACCCAGTACTTGAAACTTGAAAGAATACGTACTTGAAGCAATATTTTGCCGAAGAAATTTAAAAATGTAGAGCGGGAGACAGCAAGGCAGCCGCTTTTGATATAATTCTGCATGAAGAACAGAATAGAATAACAAGAGTTGGAAGGGACCTTAGAGGTCTTCTAGTCCAACCCCTTAGGATCTTGTTTTATGAAGATAAAACAAGATCCTAGGTCTGGTGCGAGGAGCTCCGTAAGACCAAGGAAAGACCTGAATATTCCCTCTGAATCTGATCCCGCACCCCAAATAAATCTCCATAGTTTTGGAAACAGCCGGGAGTCCCTTCTAGGAACCCCACAATTTGCAAAGACAATGCACCAATAGCCATAGCTGCCCCAACATGAACTCTTAAGGCAAACAGACAGACAGGATGGAGACTCGGTCTGTGTGTGTGTCTGTATTCCCTAGCCCCTCCCTCTGTGGCTCCCATCGTCAAGATTAAATCAATATTTAATTAGGATTTTGTTTACGGTTTATGGCATATCCTCCCCCTCCCCCTTAGAATAACAGAGTTGGAAGGGATCTTCGAGGCCTTCTAGTCCAACCCCTACCCCCATTTCAGATAAAGGATGCAGCTTCTTCTTGAAAAACCTCTGATTATGGAGCACCCACAATTTCTGGAGGCGAGCAGCTCCACCGATTCATTGTTCTGACTGTCAATTAATTAATGGCCTTTTTTTTTTTAATATGCCAAGATCACTGACCAGCAGGGCCACCAGTCTAATATCTTAGGAACTGGAGTTAACGTCTCAGCGTAAGCCCCTTGTTGGGCAGGGGAAAGCCCTCCAACTGAGAGCTGAGCTACCTCCAAGCCCCCACGTCTTCCCCTAAGCCAGTGTTTCTCAACCTTGGAAGCTTGAAGATGGGTGGACTTCAACTCCCAGAATCCCCCAGCCAGCGCTGCTGGCTGGGGGATTCTGGGACTTGAAGTCCACCCATCTTCAAGCTTCCAAGGTTGAGAAACACTGCCCTAAGCTCTCTCCCTGAGCTGGTAAATTCAAATTTGATGACATTTCAGGCTTTTCTTTTACACTTCACTTATCTCCCTTTTCCTCACTCAGGGATATGGCAACGCCAAGGGCTAAGAATAAACACCAGTTTGCTGAGTGAAGCCTCCCGGGTGCCAGCTCCGTTTTGTTCTCAGGCAAAACAGGTTATCGCCTTATCTCATAGTGGCTGCTGCGAGATCTCCCGTTAACAAAATTGTTATTGCAAAGTCTGCAGAAATATTGCAGGGTGATAAAACGAAGCCGCCCATCCCCAAGCTCCGTAGAGCTGGGGAGTTTCGAGAAAAGAATTAGGATAGCTGCACTTTGAAACATACCGCAGCTAAATCAGAATTACATCCCGGTTCTTTTAACGCAAACAAGGATTGTGAGCTTAGAGATGGTTGCAGCAAAGAGCAGGGAAATTATTTACATTTGTTTGTGCTGGTTAGTAAAAAGGAAAAGATTCCGGGCTAAAAGCTATTAAGATAAAGAAATGACCAGTTATCGTATTTCATTACACTAGAATATCCTATTCAAATCACTAGACTAACATTTGGCATTAGTGATTTATTAGCATTTGAAGCCAAATTCTTTGGTAATCTTGGGGAGTATTTTCTTGTGTGTGTGTGTCACAAATGACAAAGTTGAAAAAAGTGTCTTAGGACTATTTTTTCACACTTAACAACCACTGCCAAACCCCCGCGATCACATGATCAAAATCCAGACGTTTGTCGAACTGACATGTACTTATGACAGTTGCATGCTCTGGGATCACGTGATTTCCCCTTTTGCGGCTTTCTGGAAAGCAAAGTCCAGGGAGAAGCCAGATTCACTTAACAACCGTGTCACTGATTTAGCAAGTGCAGTCGTTTCACTTAACGACTGTGGCAACATAAAATGGGGCACAACTCACTTCCGCTTAGCAACGGAAATTTTGGGCTCAGCTGTGGTCGTAAATCGAGGACTGCCTACCCAGCAAAATGGGAGCCAATGTCCCTATTTACTCGTCCGTGTTTTGAACAGTCCCAATTTAAGAAATGGCAACACAGCCCAACATTTATGTTGTATACACTGTCCATGGCTGGTGGGATCTGTTGGTAAAGCCTGAATTCCTAACCTTTTGAAACTCTGCTGAATAGGACGCCAAATATTGTGTTTATATCAGAAACAGTGGGAGATGGAAGCCTTTCGCCTGGGAAAACCACTTTCAAAGTAGGAACTGTTTTCCCAGCTGTGAATATGCCTTCCTGGGAAATTTGCTCAGTCCATTACAAAAATATTCAAAGGAATGCAAGATTATTCAGCCTTATCTCTGCATATAAAATATTTCAAACAAATCTTTCCGCGTTTTCTTGAATTTGTGGCCGCCGCAGAAGGGGGAATTAAGCTAGGAGTAGGGCAGCAAAAGTAATCCGGTAGTCCCTGTAGGGAATGAATAAACTACCAATACTTAAGTTTAGATAGATAGATAGATAGATAGATAGATAGATAGATAGATAGATAGAATGAATGAATTCTTTATTGGCCAAGTGTGATTGGACACACAAGGAATTTGTCTTTGGTGCATATGCTCTCACTGTTCATAAAAGAAAAGATACATTCGTCAAGAATCATAAGGTGCAACACTTAATGATAGTCATAGAGTACAAATAAGCAATCAAATCATACTAGGAAAGAATCAATATAATCGATACAGATTATAGAATCAATATAATCGTGAGGATACAGCAACAAGTTACAGTCATAAGTGAGAGGAGATGGGTGATAGGAACGATGAGAAGATTAATAGTAGTGCAGACTAGAATAGTTTGACGGTGTTGAGGAAATTATTTGTTTAGCAGAGTGATGGCATTTGGGAAAAAACTGTTCTTGTGTCTAGTTGTTCTGGTGTGCAGTGTTCTATGGTGTCGTTTTGAGGGTAGGAGTTGTTATAAGTTATAGTTAAGTTAGGCATAAAAAGAAAGGTGTCCTCACCTCTTTAATATCTTCAAGACGTTGTTTTGTCTTCCAGAAATAGACAGCTTTGCTTGTTTTAAAGCAGGGGTCTCCAACCTTGGCAACTTTAAGACTTGTGGACTTCGACAAGTCTTAAAGTTGCCAAGGTTGGAGACCCCTGCTTTGAAGCACATATTTATACCGCGTGAAGGCTGGTAAGTTACCCGAGATAAACCAGGTTGTGACATATCCAGAGATTCCTTCTCCACCTTGAAAACTACAAAGCAAATCGTTGCCGTTGTTGCAATGTTTGGTGGATGCAGTGAGTAGGAAGCTGTTCACACAACACTTGGCCAAGATGACAGCTTTGGATAACCAGTTTTAACCAAGCATCGATCTCTCCCCAAAAGTAAGGAAGTTGCAGATTCTAAGCTTTTTCTTGCTATCTATCAGAAACGCTTACACTCAGTTGCCTTGACCTAGCGTTCTTATTGTAAATCATTTTCCTTGGATTCCCTCCAGATACGACTGGTACCGTTGTTTATTTATTTAGAGAACTTAAATGGGTGCCAGTCTCATAAATGGCTCATAAGATTCCATAAAATCAGAATAAGTCCCCAAAGCCCACAGCAACATACCCAACACATCACAACAATCCACCATTTCCCGTATTTTTCAGAGTATAAGACGCTCCGGAGTATAAGATGTGCCTTTTTTGGGGGGGAGGAAAATAAGGGGGAAAAAATATTCTGCTTAAGAGGCTCTCCAAAAGCTCGGGGGCCGGCGGATGGGGGGGCTACATTTGGTGTATAAAACACACCCAAATTTTCACCCTCTTTTAGGGGGGAAAAAGTGCGTCTTATACTCTGAAAAGTACGGTAAATTTTCTGGACTCACTTTCATTCATGCCTGGGGAAAAAGCCAGGTCTTCACGGCTCTCCAGAAAATTGGTTTCTGTATGAAGATATGAACCTATTCTTGTTTTCCAGTTTGTCACGATCACTTGAGCATTACAGAACAGTCCAAATTCTGACTGGGCAAGGCCTCTGGAACTGCTCAGCAAATCCCCAGCTCATTAGATTAACATTACACCCATGTCAGGAATGACAAAATCCGTAGCTGAAGATAAAAAACGAGAAACTTTTTAAAAATGGTAAACTTTATGCTGAGAGGCGGTAGAGTCAACATAAGTTCCATTTCTTACACAACACTTCATCTCGCTGTGATGCAGCTTTGCACCAAATCAAGTTTAAAATCTGCATTTTAACAGAAGTTCTCAATCAGACCCAGTTCTGTACATTACAGCAACAAATCGGATTAACTTCCTCAGATTAACAAGTACATGTACCATATACCTCGCTTTAAAATTAAACAAGAAGGCTGTGGGGTATTTGGGCCATCAAGCAAGAACAGAGAAACCAACGAATGACAGAAGTCCAGTCACAAATCCACCTTTTAATTGATCGCATGCTTCAGTTGCTACAAACTGGAAGTTTTCAATGTTCTGTGCTACCAACTCTATACCACGTGAACTTGCGAAGAATGGCATGCCATAAATTCACACAAACTCTTCTTTCTCTTTACTCAGCCTGGTCCCTATGGGGCTAGCAAGGAGAGGGGATATGAGGGATTTCCTCTTGTCTCAGCAGGGAAGGTCAAAAGCGGTCAGTCAGGTCCCGCTAACAAAAGCCAGATTGTGGGGCAAAGCACAACATCCGATGACTGCTGTATACGCTGTATGGTTAGTATACAGAGAAGAAAAAATGTTCCCAAAACCGTACGAACCTTATACTGCCTTGGGAGAAACAGGAAGCAAATTCACTGCAAATATGCAGAAAATGAAACGGCCACTTAAGTGTAAATATCCTATTTGTTTTCTACAAGTGTGAGATGCTCCACTGGTCCAAAGTGACTAAATTAAAAGGATTTGATCTCAGGTGTAACTTTTAAGTAAAGTCGCACATTTACAATAAAATGTTGCTTATTGTAAATGTTTATTTATTTATTTTTCATATTTGTATACCGCCCTACTCCCGAAGGACTCAGGGCGGTGAACAGCCATAATAAATACAAATACATATAGAAGTTAAAAACTATTAAGAAACAGATTAAGTAATTTAGGCTCAAAGATTAAAAACATCCAAATTTATCTAAAGAGGTTTAAAACCCAATTTAAAAGCCAATTTAAATGTTAAAGTAAAGGTGCACATTTACAATTAGCAACACAGCCAAGGACATTTACCCTCGGTTTGTAAGAATGCACATAGAAATGTAGATTGAAGAGACACAGAAATGGTCAAATATTCTTTTGCACACGGATAATTTCAACCAATGATGGGCATACTTCTATCGCAAATACACCTACATCTATTTATTCTGTATGTTGTTAAATGAAGGCTAGAGAAGGTATTCGTTAGGCACAGGAAAAATTAGATAAAGAGATAATAATAATATCCTTAAGATGTCTGGTCTGCTTTTCTTTCATCTAACTATAAAACACTACATGCATGTTTTGTAGATAACTATGAAAGATATTAAGAACGAGGGTCCTGTTTAAAAGTCTAAGGCTAATAAATAGGGTTTTTTTAGCATCCCAGCACTCCCCATGTTAAATTTCAGATTCTCCTCACTCAGATTAGAAAACAGAAAAATATAGACCACGTGGCAATAATCCCAATAAATTTTAAAAATTATAACATATTGTCTTGCCTATATTTTTGAACAAGTAGGACTCGCAGCTGAAAATTTGAAAGAAAACACTTCTAGGATAAAAGGACTCATAGTTATTTACTCACGTTTAGTTTGTGTTTTTTCAGGACAGGTTCATCTTCCTCGGGTGCCGTTTGTGGTTTTGGATGCTTTACGGATTTCTTTTTCTGCTTCATCTTCTTCTTTTCTGGTGAAAGGTGCTTTTTCTTTCCGGCCTTCATCCGTTTTCCTGTGACTTTACAACTCTAAGAACAAATAAATAAAAAGAAGTCGTACCTATTAAAGAGATTTGTTTGTTCAACAGAATAAATTATAACTTTTCCCCCTGAAGATTTATCTTCCTTCCGGATGGATGGATGAGAAGCAAAACGTCTTCAAAGGAAAACCAGAAGGTCCAGGGGCCTCTTGAAAAAGCACTTTTGGTCCAACACTGGAAGTTTTTCAGAAGAGATTAGACAACCACTTATCTGAAATGGAACAGGGTCTCCTGGCTGAGCAGGGGATTGGACTAGAAGACCTCCAAGGTCCCTTCCAACTCTGTTCTTCTGACATGAAATCATATCTTTAGGAGAATAAAAAGGAGCCTGGATAGCTCTGCAGGCTAAGCACTGTAATTTAACACCAGCTGTCTGCAATTAAAGTAAGATCGAATCCCGCCAGGCTCAAGGTTGACTCAGCCTTCCATCCTTTCTAAGGTAGGTAAATTGAGGACCCAGATTGTGGGGGCAATAAACTGGCTTTGTATAAAATATATAAAAGAATGAAGGCTATTGCTTAATGCACTATAAGCCGCCCTGAGTCTCCAGGGAAGGGTGGCATATAAATCAAATTAAAAAAAAACAACAACAACCAAGCTGCAGGCAATTGGATCTAATTTTTCTGTTTAAGTCCAATTTCAGGAAATCATCAGGAAATGTGTGTTGATTCTACAACAGGTAGTTTAAAAACAGTATGGCAAACAAATACATGTATTTTTTTTTACAATGTTTATAAATGGACATTTAAAGATAAATAATCTGCTGAAATACATAGTTGCCAAATGGGACCTGAACTGAGTTTCCTTTTGCAATCAACATTTATTTGGCAGATTTGCACCAATGTTGCATTTAATTCTCAAAAGTGTTCAGCAAAATACAGCAGGGACAGGAAATTTCTGGTTCTTAAACCCAAGCTGGAGGGTCCCTCATTAGAGAGCCTGCCAATTCTTGCCTCTTCTTTTAGCAAATCTTCTTTTACCGTTGAATACAGGTAGTCCTCGATTTACGACCACAATGGAGCCCAACATTTCGGTTACTAAGCGAGACAGCTTAGCTGGAGTTTTGCCCCAATTTTTTACGACCTTTCTCGCCACCGTTGTTAAGTGAATCACTGCAGTAACACAGTCGTTAAGTGAATCTTGCTTCTCCCTTGACTTGGGTGGGCGGTCCAAAGGTTGCAAAAGGGATCATGTGATCCCAGGACATGCGACCGTCATACATAGGAGAGTCCGTCGCCGAGGGGGCTGAATTTGGATCACGTGACCACGGGGATGCTGCAACGGTCGTTAAGTGTGAAAAAACGGCCGTAAGTCCTTTTTTTTTTCCAAAGTGACGTTGTAACTTCAAACAGTCACTAAGTGAACTCCTATAAGCCAAGCACTATCTGTTGTTCTTTCCCCATCTGTTTTGGAAAAAGGTCACGGTTGGGGCTTATGGGTGTTGTAGTTTGGGGCTTATGGGTGTTGTAGTTGCTTGTGGGCATTGTAGTACATCGTGAGTCCTCTCCCTCCTCTTCCCTCCTCACACCCCTCCCCCAAGGCGGGCCTGCCTTTGGTTTGCAAGGGAGAAAAATAGAGACTGGCCGACCCTGCAGGGTTGTTGTGAAGGTCGAGGCGGGAAAGGAGGTGAAAACGGGGTGAAAGGTCAAAGGGGAGGGAAGTTGCCCCGCCCACTACTTCCCCTCGGAGCACGTGATCGATACCCCCCCCCCCCGGCTCCGCCACCCACCTCGGTTTCACCCCCGGCTTCTTCAACGGCCGCTCTTCCGCCTTTTTCCACCGGCTTCCTTCTGGCCGCCGACGTCCCTCCTTCTTCCAGCCCCCGATTGGCTGCTCGGGCGCCCCCGCGCTGTGATTGGCCGCGCGACATGTCCGTCCTCTCGCGACCGTTCCCAGGAGTGGCCGCGGCGGCTTTGAAGGCCCGCCCCCTTCCTCGACTCTTCCGGATGCACGCGCTCTCGCTCTTCGCACGCGGCGGGGGCGGGGCGAAGGGAGTGCCCCCCCCACCGAGGAACGCCGGCGCGGCTGCGCGAGGTGCGGCCTCGTGGGCGGAGAGCGCGTGCGTACTCCCTCTTTCATGATTGGACGCTGTGTGCCAGCCTTTCCTGCCCATTCTATGCTCTGTGCTGGCTGGAGAATTCTGGGAGTTGAAGTCCACCAGTCTTAAAGCTGCCAAGTTTGAAGACCTCTGCTTTAAATGAAGCATTTAAGACGATAAATTAAAACAATTAAAAAGAGAAACACAAGAACCGTGTTGAGTCTTGCCTTTTAACAACAACCTTCCCTCCAAATTTTATTTTTTATTTTTTTTCCCTTCCCTCCAAATAAAAATAAAACTCATAATTTGGTGAAAAAGGAGCAGTTGCAAACTTTTTCCTACTCTGCTTAGTCTTAAAGCAGTATTTCTCCTGCTTTAAAGCAGTGTGGACTTCAATTCCCAGAATTCCCTGCAAGCATAGTTGCAATAAAATAATATAAAAATTTGCAACTTGCACTAATGTTACCTACTTAAATAATGTTAACATCTGCTAGCAAACCTCAGAGAAGCACCCCACAATCTGCAGAGTCTCTTCTAAATTGATTGTATTAAACATATCTTGAGTTTTTAACCATATGAAAAAATATACATTTTTGAGCTTGGTGCCAGTCTTCACTATTTCATAAATACCAAAAAAACATAAGAAAAAAAACCCACCGAACCATTATACATATTTTTCTTCAAATTGCATAGCTCTTTCCCATTTAATCCACTTCTATCTGACTCTAAAGGGTGGGGAGAACCAAGTTTAAAAGAAGCTCAGCATTCCCGCCTGACAGCTGTATTTTTGGAAGGCTGAATATGGAAAAGTCTACATTGCATTCTTGTGTTTGAAGAGGATTTGGCAACTTAAAACGGGCTGGTTTTGTGGGTGGCGACACCCTGTGGGTTATTCATATACTGCAAATAAAACCAAGTTGGATGGAAAGATTTCACTCAGCAGGGATCTCTCATACGTGAAAAATAACTACATACCTCTGCCAGAATAAATCCAGCAAAAGAAAGAGAAAGACTCCCTGCTCCCATCCATGGAAACCTTGTACTGTTTGAGCTGTTTTCAATATTTCAGTCAGTTGGAGAATTTGAATGACTGGTCAAACTTGGCAATTTGAAGACATGGACTTCAACTCTCAGAATTCCCCAGCCAGCTGAGTTGAAATCCACGAAAGTGGGTCATAAATAGCTCTGGGGATGTCTGTTGTAATTTTGAACGGTTGTTAAAAGAACCAGTCACAAGATGAGGACTATAGTTATTAAGGCTGCTGCTTCTGCTCACGAGAGCAATGTGTAGCACTCATAGGTTAAGGATGCTTACAAAAGCTTGATTTCTAGCTTAAAAAGATGTGGTGCTTTTTTCAGTCTTTCTTTGCAAATACAAATGCCATTTGTATTTTATTTTATATACAAATACAGCCATCAAGAATCCTGGAGCGGACCATATCTGTCTTAAAAGGCCTAAGTGTCTATGGAGATTCTCAGTCCTCCAGGCCATAGTTGTCCCAAAGGTGCTTTTTCAAGAGGCAACTGGACTTTCTGGTTTTTCTTTGAAAAAGCTTTTATTAATCTTTTTTTTTTATTAATCATATTTCTATGCCGCCCACTCTCCGAGGACTCTGGGCGGCTTACAACAATCGACAGTATACTAAATAGCATATTGCCCCCTAACAATCTGGGTCCTCATTTTACCCACCTCGGAAGGATGGAAGGCTGAGTCAACCTTGAGCTGGTGAGATTTGATCCGCTGATCTGCTGAACTAGCAGTCAGCTGAAGTAGCTGCAGTACAGCACCCTAACCACTGCGCCACCTCGGCTCTTACAGCATTTGTAAGCATTTGGTGCATGGTGCTTACTGTGCATGTGCAGCCAGCAACCGGTAGTAAACGAGTTCAGATTTCACCACTGGTTAAAGGTCTAAGGTTTCTTGAACTCCATTTTGGATCAAGGAATCTGCTGTGGCCATTATCCTAGGCAAGAGAAGGTGAGGGCAGCGTTGCATGTTCTTCAAACATGTGGCTCATCTTGCTCATGTTCAACAGTTCTGTGACTTAAATTCAAGCCAACCACCATGACGATATAAAGAATCCGTTTAATCAGAAAATGTGCAAAAGGGTACAATTAATTTTTAAAAGCTAAAGATGGACAGCTATATGCAGACTTCAAATAGATTCAGATCCCAACTGCAGAAATCAACTTTTTGCTTTGCATCTGAAAAAAACAAGAAACAAAAATGCAATTAGCTAACCGGAAGTTCCAAACTAGTATTTCTTGGCGTTCGTAACTTCTATTTTCACTTTTTATTTCCTTTCTGCTGGATTTTAGACATGTACAATATTCTACATGTACAAACAAACTAACCAGCTACGTCAGGCACATTCAGAAATCAATAATAAAAGTTTTGTGCTAACGTTTCAACAGGGCACACCTGAAGCATGGGATTATACTTACTGATCAGGAATGATCCAATCTTACCCATTTTGTAGGAGCTGATAGTTGGGAGAATTATTCTTGTCTTGCAGGGACCTCATTATAGCTGCACACCTGGGAGGAAGTTAATATGCATTTAAGTGAAGGATTTTTGACAATTAATAGGAAAGTTTCATTATTAACTAACTGGTGTGTTTATTACTTGATACAATTTTTTTAAAATTATTCATAAACCACCTGGGCTGTCTTGAAGCTTCAGCAACCTATAAATTAATGAATAAACATTAACGAATATTAACCAAGCTGTGGCTCCTTGCTATAATTTTCACTTCCTCATTGAAAGATATCCCGTAGCTACCCCGATAACAGATTCCTTCACCAACCAGCTGGAATGGACAAATTCTCCTTAGCAGGTCTTCTTCCCAAGACCCAACCATCTTTAAAAACCACCTAGACTTAATTTGGGACATGTCCTGAAAGAGGTCCGTCATGTTGACTTCCCAACCCTTACCCAGCTTTGGAGATGGGCCAAATCCGTCCTGGGCATTGGTGGTCCAAAGGATGTCGATGATGAAGACAGAAGTTCTGGTGACACTGCTCACAAACCAGCCGCATCATCTCTTTCTTTCTGCATCCCGCTTTGAAGCATTGGTTGGTGAAGATCTAAACATCAAAGACATCGCACCAAATTGGATTATATGCTGATATTTGGTACCCCTTATGAACAGTTGGCCTACCAATAAAGGAGAATAGTTGGCCTACTTGGTAAATTGGAAATGCCAGTAGAATGCGGGGGGAGGGGGGCTGATTCCACAGTTCAAACCCAACCCCAACCTAAACCTGGCTTCCCCATAAACCACTGTTTCTCAACCTTAACTACTTTGAAGATGCATGGACTTCAATTCCCAGAATTCCCCAGCCAGCCATGCTCTTTCCAGCCTTTCTTTAAGGAAATGTGATCCTTGGCTCAAATTAATCCTTAAAGAAAGATAAAGTCACTTTCTAAAGACAGAGAAGGCTCCATGAAGGCAGGAGGAAGACCGAACCAAGAAGATGAAGTGGCCTTCAAGAGGTCCACCCTTCTTAAGAAAGGTCCTTACTTTCTGCTTCTGCTGGGCCGAATCCTGTTGACAATCCCGGTCCATATGGGCCCCCACAGCTACATCGGGCGTCTCTCCCTTTCTGACGGGGACCGGAGTGTTGCAAAGAGGGCAGACTGGAACCTGTACATCCTAAAACAAAAACATTATCAGGTTGAAGTCAGCAGAGACAAGTCGAGGTAAGTCGGTGCTTCAAACTGTCCCTAATATACTCCTGGTGTAACCCCCAAGGGTGTAACTATTTGGCTTTGCATTCTGCCAACTAACAAGGTCCTGAACACGAGTCTTAAAAGAAAAAAGTCCTTCGTCAATGCAATAACCTTGTTTAAGACTTGAACTTTTTGCATCTTCCAGAACGACCCTAAAGGCTACTTAAAAAGCCCCTTTTCCACATAAATCCCTCCCTTTTTATTATTTTGCTCCTTTGTCAAGTCTTAGCTCTCACAGCACATCATGATTTTAGACAGTAGACCAGTATAACCAGGAGTTATACTTTACCAACTTGAAATAATGCCAGTGTTAAAAGTCTGTAGGGATTCTCAGTCCTCCAGGTCCTGGTTGCCCCAAAGGTGTTTTTTTCAGGAGGCAACTGGACTTTCTGGTTTTTCTTTGGAAGACGTTCCCATTCCCCATTATCCTGTCAGAGCTGAAGAAGCTTCTTGGATGAGAGAAGCAAAATGTCTTCAAAAGAAAAAAAAAAGGAAGTCCAGTTGCCTCCTGAAAAAGCACTTTTGGGAGAATGCTGCCAGCGTTAACCCTCAAGAAGAGGCCACCAGCGCAAGGACAAGTTTAAAAACTGTTCCAGCCGCAGCATTTTTGCACGGCTAGTTATGCATTGACACACTCTCCGTCCCCGTTTCACCAGGTTCCTAATGCCATAAAGACAGATCACCTTCTTATACGCCGAAGAACACTTGTGTCGGCTGTAGATAATGTGATCTTTGCAGAAAAGCTCCTCGCAGGCGTCACATTTCAGAGGAAGAAAATCTTCAGAGGGGAAAAAAACAACAACAACCAGCAAATACGTTAAGTTGGATTTATCCTAACGCAAGAGGTCTTCCCAAATCACAACAAAGGTTGTGGTCATCCCTTACAGGAGGGAGGCACCAAGTCCATACACACCCCTTTCCCATTGATCCCTACCCAGCCGCCTGCAGCTCTTCTCGCAGCAGTGTTGTCCTAGGTCTGGGAATTCCATTTCTTCAGAAGGCCCCAACTTCCCAGAATTAGGATTACCTAGGAGGAGAGGTGTTGTGTAAATTTGGCTTTCCCACAGGACACGCAGCAGCCAGATTCACACCCAGCGCTGACACGCGTGACTTCTGTAGTCACTGTTAAGTCACATTAGCTGATGTCAAATATCCCATTAACCCAGAATTTCGCTTTACTGTAAAAACAACAACAACAAAGAGCCGAGGTGGCGCAGTGGTTAGAGTGCAGTACTGCAGCTACTTCAGCTGACTGCTAGTTCAGCAGATCAGCGGATCAAATCTCACCGGCTCAAGGTTGACTCAGCCTTCCATCCTTCCGAGGTGGGTAAAATGAGGACCCAGATTGTTAGGGGGCAATATGCTATTTAGTATAGTGTCTATGGTGTAAGCCACCCAGAGTCCTCGGAGAGTGGGCGGCATAGAAATATTAATACTAATACTAATAATAATAATGATGATGATGATGTAATAATAATAACAACCCCACAGCAATTATTTAAACCGGAGGTGTCCAGGTTTAGCAACTTTTAAGACCTGTGAACTTGACTGGCTGGGGAATTCTGGGAGTTCATCCACAAATCTTGAAGTTGCCAAGGTTAGACACCCCTGATTTACACAATAGCAAAGATTCTGGGCAAAGAAATCCTTTTAGAACTCGGAGCTAGGTGTGAACACAACCAGTTTTGACCTCAAGCCACCCCTGTGCCAAAAAACTACCAAGGTCAGAATCAGAATAGAGCAGAATAGAGAACTTCCTGTAACTATCAGGAAGTTTCTCCTTAATTCCAGATTGCTTTCCTCCTTGATTAGTTTCGATCCATTGTTTTCTCGTCCTGCCTTCTGGAAGTTCTGGTGCTTTGGAAAATAATGTTGGCCCCCTCCTCTTCATGGCAACCTCTCAAATACTGGAAGACTGCTATGATGTCACTGAATCAATCAATCAGAATAGAGCTGGCAGGGACCTTGGAGGTCTTCTAGTCCAACCCCCTGTCTCCAGCAAGAGACCGTACACCATTTCAGAGAGGTAGCTGTCCAGTCTCTTCTTGAAAACTTCCAGTGAGGGAGCACCCACAACTTCTGGTGGCAAGCTGTTCCACAGGTTGTCCTCACTGCTAGGAAGTTTCTCCTTGGAATTCAGTTGCTTCTCTCCTGGATGAGTTTCCAACCATTGTTTCTTGCTCGTCTTGCCTTCTGGTGCTTTCCCTTTTTCCTTCTTGTGCCATAAATATCCGTCATCGGACGTTACAGCCGCACGAAAAAGCGCTGCTGAGTTGGTGCTTTGGAAAATAAATTAACCCCCTTCCCTTCCCTACTTAAGAACCACTGATCGGCCCCCAAAAGTTCTGAGTCGTAGAGATTCCCCACCGCCCACCTCCAGAAAGCCACATGGGCTTAATAAATAAGCCAGAATTGGAATACAGAACTTCAACGCAAGCACTCTGCCCAGGATTGCATCCCCATAACGACTTTAACCCTAGTTGGCTGAACAACCCCAAAGAGACAGGACTGAGACAACACGCAACGCACCCAAGAGGAACGGATTCACACAACCTACTTAGCCAACCCCGCTGGGTTTAGCAAGCCGTGGGAACGCACTCCCGTGTCGGTCCTCTCCAACGTGGGCGGGCGGGCGGGCGGGGAATAAACCTCGCTGGATCTGCCCTAAAGGCACAGGGGGAAAAAATCCGGTGGTCGGTATAGACTGGCACAAAAACACGCAACAAGCAACAACAGAAAAATGCACCCAAGCTCCCCGGACTCCAGCCCCGCAGCGCTCGGGCGCTTTATGCAGCGGAGCGCGATTTTGCTGAATCATATTTTTCGTCCGCCTCCCGGCCGCCCAATCAGGGCCGACTTTGGCAACGTCACCGACCAATCACGGGAAGCCCCGGCTTGGCGTTTCGCTGAATCAGGGCGCCCCGCCTCCTGGCTGCCCTAAGCGTGAGTCAGCTCTTTTCTTTCTTTCTTTCTTTCTTTCTTTC